GTATTAATCTACTAATTAAATTTTATTGTGGAAAGGCTTTTATAAAATAATTCTGAAGGTAGATCTATTTGTAACGAATAGTAATTGGTTTGAAGACTATTGGAAACCAGGTTTTTCACAGTCAATACCTTCATAGTTTACATTTAGTATAGTAACTATAAATCACTGAAATGGAATTCAATGGTTTAATCTGGTCAACTCTAATTAATTTCTGAAATATTCATTAATATATCAGTAATTTCCGTTCAAGGTCATTCATTCTTTCTATTCAAAAGCACAACACATGATCCATATAGTCTCGCCACTTTATGAAGTTATATGCATATTATCATGTTATTATATATGATTCGATAATTGTGTACATGTATATAGCTTGTACGGTTTATTCGAGCGCACAAACATATATTTAAGTGGGTGGAGTGATAGATAAGCTCATTCTTATGACGTGATGATCCTGAGAATTTGTGTTATGATCAAGTGGTATATTGATGTATCCAGAAAACAAAAGTTCCTATTTCTTTTGAGAAAAGTCACACATGCATACACACACTTTGAAACACCATGGGGTACAGATACACACACACACAGAGAGAGAGAAATACTTAGTTATTAGAACTGTAAATAACATTACTTGGAACATTATTCACAAACTATAACACAGAATCATACGATAAGTTAAAATATACACATAAATACATTTATAGATAAGAGATCATATTTGACATTAGATTGTGAGACCATTACATAATAAATGGGTAGGTTGTATAGTAAAAACCACTGGATGACTGAATATTACAAAAAAATATTCAAAGTAGTCAGTATGAAAAGATCATTTCCACAACCCATTTGTACAACTGTGTTAACATAAATATGGACAAATAAATGAAACCTAACCCTGGGCTAATTGATCAATAAGCATTTTAAAAATGTCCATTATGTAATACTGATTGAGTTTCACCAATTGAACTCACCAGTGTTGGTCATTTGGTACAGCATGCCTGATGTTTTCATGGTATATGATTTATGGTAATCAATAGGATCAAGGATTCGTATTAATTGGATTTCATCAAATAGACATATATGACATCGGTTACTTTATTCAGTAATCGATTAGTGTAAATAACTTAAACCTACAAAGTGTCACAGTTGAAGACTGAATACCATGTTACTAGTAACGTCTCAGTATATGACCTTGATAATGTTATTTGACACCATATGTTTCTGCTTGTCTGGGGAACCGTCTGAACAAACTAAAACATACGAGGTCAGATTCCAACCTGTATATCGGTAATGAAAATTCCAACGACAAATCAGTCAGAGATTGAGAGCATCGAATTAACTCGCTTTTAGGATTAGATTTGTTTAAGCATAACTTCAAACAACGTAGACTTTCGGTAATTGCTTAAGTCATATGTACTTAATAATTGTAAATTTGCAACATGATATCAATCGTAATTTAATACATAAAAAGCTGGTACGATAAATAATGAAATATGGGATATGAAAATAAAATGTTTTATGACAAGAGATGGATAGTGATTAACATTAGAATCTAGGACGCGCGCTTCATCATATAATAAAAGCGACTTATCAATTGCAGGACACCAACGAGAGGATTCAAACAACCAATATAAATGAAGCAAAATTAACCCCATTGTTATACAAGCTAGTGGCTATCTGAACTCAGTAGCTAAGTGAATAATGCATCTGGTGTTCAAAGGAAAAAATACTGGGTTCCAGTCTCGATGTGACCGTCAGCACTAGAGTGCAGATACACCAGATGACGAGTCCCAGATAGGTTAAAACTCGCGTCCAGGATTCTACTGCTAGCGACTATCTAACTCTGCTCAAAAAACGCTTGTGACTTAAGGATGAGATCGAGGCAATCCACACAGAATGCACATATAGCAAAAGAGATTGATTAATTGCAGTCATAAAACACCATTGGAAATATTCAAAGAATCAATACAAATGAACAAAGGCAAAACAGTTTTAATTAGTTGATAAATATTGGTAGTAAACTGTCATATATATTTATTAATCGAAAGATAATGCAACTAGATCAATTATTATGAATAATAAACCTAGTATGAAGTGATTAGTCAGGTTCAATAAACACGGTATTCAACTTTCAACCGCAAAGTCGCAGGTTCGAACCTTAGTTCACTTAATTCAGTTTGGATAACCAGCATGTAGTACCGCTAAACTTTACACATTCAAAATGTAGCTCACAGTTAAGTGTACAAACCTGAATCCGGGTGAGTTAGTAAATATTATACATTCTAAAAAGCTGGAGACAAACTATAAAGAGTTATTGTATTACTGTCGTCAGACATTAAGCTGATTAACATTTAAGAACAACAAAATTCCGTTACCAATGGTCACATATTTTTTTAAGAAAAATAAAATGAAAACTTTTTGATTATTAATAGTAAGTAGCAAATCACTTTAGTTCTGCCGGTATGTAACGTGAAAATCGTACCAGGTTTTCATTTATTACTTTTTGTAATTAACAATAAATAGGTCAATGTAGGTGCAACATATGTAATCTTTATTTATTTACTTATTTATTCACATTTAACAGAGTTCTATGGATTATGATTTCATTATTTAAGTTATTGTATAATGTGAATTAACGAGAATTAACAAATAAATACAAATTAATGGCTTAAGGTGTACACAGTTGATTGATTGAACAAACATCAAAGTGGACAGGTTAGTAATGAACAACCGACAACAAAATAGAACATAGTTTATAATTAACAGTTAGAAAACTAGTGTAGTATACAACTGAAAAGCTTGATTTCAGGAGGTGAGCAGTAAAATTCAGCCATGTCAAATGTGAGCAATGACTATTCAGTATCGTGAACTGATTCAATATCAAACATGTAAACCATTAAGTCATTGCTCAATTGTTCAAGTGTTAGACGCTCGCAGCGAGATCTGGACTATATCCGTGTTTGATGAAAAGTGGAGAAGGCAACGCATACTCCCAAAGAATCTGATACTGGGACGAAACAGCTATCTCATGCTTACTAGTTTTAATCGTTGTCAAACTAAGGTTAGTTTATGATATAAATTATAAGATTTAAAAAAATCCCCACAAACTTCTAAAATTAATAAACATACAATGTACCTCAAGGTACAACAGTATTCGATTTTATAATCGAGGTTAGGTGCTAATACAATTAGCTTTTACTTGAAATATTGTATGTGAAACTATTCGGCTTATCAATTAGAACTAGAAAGGAAATGGTTTAAGCTTAAGATACAATGGGTGCAAGTTGAATATTTTAATTATTCTTTTTCACTAACTGTTATGAATTACTACGTTGATGTTATATGTTAAATGAAAGAACTAAGACAACTCCTAGATAAAATGAAATTACCGACAAACTCATTTACTCTTGATTCGGTCAATATGCATCGGCCAACAAGAAGTATTGCACCTAATCAAACAAGTAGTAAACGCATGTCGACAATTCCTAGACGTTTGTTCAAAGTATGAAAAGCACTACAAGAAGGACGATATAGTGGTTTCGCCGTAGTGAGCATCCATGACCCTCCTAAAACATAAAATTCATAAACTTCCGATTTCAAGAAAAACGATTCATTTTTAAGCTATCAAAGTGAAATCTAACAGTAATCATTTTAAATTTCGGTTAATTTGTGGTTTCATCGATAGGTAAACTGCTTAATACTGGATAGTGAAATTCATTCACATTTATTTCCTTCCTCTTACAATCAGTCAAACAAAAATGTACGTTCAACTTCATATACCACTAGCATGGAGAAGTGAAATTAACAAGATGACTAGAAACATTAGTAGTATAAATAATAATAGAAAACATTGATTACTGTGAAGAATATAGTTGGGAAAGAATGGATTCGTAGGATAAAATGCAGTTTTTAGAAAATACCGCAGCACAAAACTACGGACAATTGAAATAAATTGTGAGTAATGAAGCTATCAAGTAATCGATTATGTACAAATACGAAACAGGATCGCATTTAACTTATAAGCTTACGAGAAAACATATTTTTTAAAAGCTAAGAAATAATGTGAAATATTGATAGATATTCAGTATTGATGTAAGAGCAAGGGGAGGGGGGATATCTGATAAGAGATGAAAAAAGAGTAAATAACAATCCTCAAACTGATAGTTTTGAACCTGTATAGTTTATCATTTGGTACCAAATTGAAAAGAATTGTCTCTAACCAATGTACATACATATATACCAATTATTGCAATCAAACTTTTAAACTATAAATGGTAGTTAACAAACAATATGAGAACTGGCAAACTACTTAATCTTACATTAAATTCTCATCAAGCATAATAGTGGTAACGGGAAGAGTATTGGAAAAGTTGAACTTTGTTCATTAATTATTAATGAACTAAATGATTGTATATTTACATGATCCTATTTGTAAGCTTTCTCTTGATGCACAAACTAATATTATTTGTTGTGCCTTCCTTAATTTACTGTGAATTTATCACGAACCAGTGTATTATTAAAAAGAGTAAATGAAGTACAAATATGTTCCAGTCACATTTTAGTTGGCGATAAAGTAATTTTCGGATATAATAACTGGTACTTTATTTGAATTTTCCTGGTGTCTATAATGTCATTTAGTCACATGTATTTGGTGTTGGACGCGAAGAATAGTTTGGCTGAATTTTAGCTACAATCTATACTAGGATAATGCAGGTACATCCAGCTGACGAGTCTCAAGTGGGATGAAACGTATGTTCTGGTCATATTTCCAATGTCCATTTAAAACCTCACTATCCCTTATGCAACCTCACATCATAGAATATCAGAGAAGATGGAAAAAAAATGATCGTATTGCTTTGTTTGAGTTCATACAGAAATTTTAATTTCCGGACTACAGAAGACTGCACAACAAAAGTTTATTAAATAAAATACTGACTACTGATAAACGAAGTAAGTAATATAAATAAACGTGGAATTGTTAAAACAACAACTAGACATACTTTCGCTTCACGAATTGTAGCCAATACAGCAGATTCAATCAAATCTGCGTACTTATTTAAATTCATATAACGAAGCATCATAATGGCTGAAAAGAGTAGAGCAGTTGGATTGGCACGATCTTGACCAGCAATATCAGGAGCGGTACCATGTACCTGAAAATATGTATAATGGATATTACTATTACGAAAAAATATAAAAAATTCTAATCGCATGACACAAAATTTCCAGGATAACTACAGTTTAATACATGTTACGTCTGCAGGATTATGATCCACAGTTGAGAAAAATCGACTTAAATCAGCTCTTAAAAAATAGGAAGGCGCTATTTCAAGAACTTAAACTAATCGAGAGAAAACTTGTATGTGATTTGTCAGAAGCTGACATTCATAACAGTTGATCTTGAAACACGTTTCAGCTTATTCGATAATCATCCACATAGTTTCTACTAAGATAGGACAGGGGTAAACTACCAAGGTGTTTTGAATAAACGGAATATTTGACACAAAAGTACACATTTAGAAAATCAATCTGAAACGCCTATGACTTTAAGATATGAGTTTTATAGGAAATTTATCAACTTATGAAGATTAACAATTAACTATGAGGGTTAACTCTTGTCCACCATATTTCCAAATGCCCACAAAACGATGTAAGTCGATCACACCAGCTAACGCTGTCCGTTGAGATAGACGATGATTGGATATATATAGAGGATATACATTCACAACCTCACTAACAGATTTATTATTTTGGCCTAATTATTTTTTCCTAATCTCAACATCAGTCCCTAGGTCTTTCAACAATACAGGAGCGACAATTCGGAGATGCTTACGTTCAAAAACCAGTAGCCTACGAGAAGGTATTCTTTTCCCATAGGTCGCATTTCACAAACAGAATATAGTACAGAGAGAACTGCTGAACAGTAACAGTTATGCTTCGAAAAATACATGAACAAATTGTTTGCATCACAAGTAACGTTAGTTAAATATTAACATAAAAAGTTACTAACTTACTGATTCAAATATAGCTCCAGTTTCACCAATGTTACCGCTTGGTGTAACACCTAGACCACCAATTAAACCAGCGGCTAAATCACTCAATATATCACCATACAAATTTGGCATAACTAATACATCGAAACGAGTTGGATCTTGAACAAGCTGATATAGGAAGAGAGAGAAAATTCCACTCAATGTATTCATATTAATAACTGTTATTTTAATTATTCTCACGGTTATAAAACTAATCAAAACAACAATAATAATAGCTTTATTCAGTATTAAAAATTTCATTACGGCAAGGAATTCTCAGTATCAATTGTACAATACTGCAAAGAATTTCTGCGTAACAAGTAGTCAAACTGTAATTATTTTATAATATATTTTATAAATATTTTTAATGGTCAGGTATTTAGTATTTGTCCTTAATTGGGAAAATTTTCTACCAGTTCAGATGCTACGATCACTGTTTCCGTTTATCATATAAATGAAGCACGAGTTGCAGTGTAGTTGTCTCTGATTATTTTTTTTTCAAAGAATAGACAGTGAATAAAATATTCCAACAAACTCAGTGTTTCAGTACATAGATTCGCAACAATTTAGAACCCTTTCACAGAAGGGCCTCAGTGCATACAGCCAAAATTCATAAGTATTTAGTTCAGACAAATCCAGAACAATTTCTGGAGTTCTGTTAAGAGTTCGTGTAGACCAGTGTAGCTAAACCGTATCGGGTGTGAGATAGTTACCTACCACAGATGATGGAAGATGGACACACAGTGGAATGGAGTAATTAAAGTTAAATATTAACACCATCGGGGGGCTGATTCAGTGGTTTGGAGGCTAGGCGTTCGCACGCAAGACCGAAGATCTTGATCTCGATTCCTCCGTGCTGGGTCTAAGATTAGCCCTAATGAAGAGTCCCATACTACGACGAAACAGCCGTCCAATGCTTTCAGGTTTTTAATATTGGTCTAACTTAGATCGGTTCATGGTATCAGTGAAATTCAAAACAGATGGATTAAGTGCAAGATTTGCACAGTTAGGAAATAAATGACTCAAACGTTTAAATCGGTCGCTTGCTCATTGTTTTAAAACAACAGAAAAAAAACAATAATAATTATGATCAACGAAAGAGAGAACTTTTTAGAATACATCATTGTCACTGTAGCAACAAGTGAGTATCATATATGGTAGTCATATAATTATTCGGTGGTATACGGTATTTGCTGACTAGATTGTCTTACTAATTTGTTATACGCCTTGCTTGAAATACAGGTGAATAGTTTTTCTTTTTTAAAGTTTATCTCACAACTGCTATAACAATTTATTCATATAACTTGAAAGTTTTAAGAGATCCTGTTATTTTCCTATTGGGATATTCAGAAAAATATCACAAAAATTATCCTGTTAAGTCTAATGCTATCCTTGGACTTGAAATAGCATCATTTTCCTATTGGCCAATTTTTATTTCATATGTCGTTTCCCAATTGGGCAATATTTATTTCACATGTCATTTTCCTGTTGGCCAAATATTGTACAAATGTTATTTTCTATTTTATGGTGAGTTGTGGTCTGCTTGATTGGTATATAAACAGAGTATGTTTGAAATACATGATTCATATCGCAGAGGCTGAGACTTGTGTTCTGGAATTATCTGGCTGGGCTAGGCGGAAAGCAGGGCCAATCAGAACTCTAGGCTGAGCATACGTGTTTACGCGTCTTTGATTCGATCAATAAGTCACTGCTCATTAATCAGAAGTCACAAGTTATAACACTTCCTGCGTATTTCTCACCGTTAACTTCAATACAAGAAAGAAACAAAGATAACTACTAATTAAAAACAAGGCTATTAAAACAAATTGATATAACTATTCGATAGCTTCATCTTTTACATGAAGTATGCATAGTATTTTTAACGAATACACATAAAGAGACAGTTATGCTTTTAGAATTCGGTGATTAGTAAAAAAATAGGATTACAGATTATAATAAGTTAGTGTTTGTGAATCAACGAATGAATGAATCAGTCAGTCAGCTAGTTGTAATCAACACAAGAACTGGCATACATATGCACTAAGTTAAATACCTAAAACACATTAACACAATAAGATGAAAAAATGAATAATGTAACATTTGTCTAGTTCTTAGTAGTTATCGAATTCTATCAACCAAGTTGTATCACGAGCACTTGTCTAAGTGATTCAACATCTCATATACTATGTTAAGATAATTAGACAATTGTAGGTAGGCTGTAAGAATTCCTACCTACAGTCAAATGAACAGCAAAAGTGTAGCAGTATTAACAACAGTGGGAAAAAGAATAAACTTTCAAAGTATGGTTTGGAGAAGAAAACATATGCGACCACCATGTATTTTATCCAAGGTATCCAATCATCAAAAGAGAAAAATATTATGAAAAAGAAGTTGTGAATATCTAATAGCTTCCATAAATAATCTTTCTTTTATTTAACTTACATTTAAGCAGACAGTATCCAAAAACATATCACAAAATTCAATCTCCCTATGGTGTGCAGCTTCTTCACGGCATACTCGAAGGAATAGACCATCTGACATTCTCCTTTTTATTGAGGAGAGGGATGGAAAATAGAAAAAAAATTACAGATCAATTAATTTATATTAACTTCCTAAAACATCGGGTTTTAACAATCATAGTATGTACTATACAATTTGGTAGTGATGATTTGAAATTGTTTTCTCCACGATTATTTATGAGCATCACTATGTTATATCCGGAGAAGATTAAATTATGTGTAACTTCTGGGAACCATTTATGGATTATTATTATTATTATTACATATATCTCTTGCTTTATAATTGTTAAGTACCTAGATTATGTATATTTATATTCCTTTTATCATAAGCTTTCATTTGACCAATTGACTACTATCATATGATTTACCATTCTTGAGTTATTGCCAATTTATTAGTTACAGTCTCTCACAATCACAGCCACTTTTTGGCTTGATCCTGTATAACTGTTACTTTTTATTTTATGGTATGATGTGGTCTAATTTGCTTGTATATGAACCAAGTGTGCCTGAAATATATGATTCATATAGTGGAAGGCGATATTAGTGTTATGGACTCAACTGGCAGTGCTAGACGAGAAGGACCAATAAGGACTCTAGGCTGATTGTACCGGTTTTTTCGTCTTTGGTCTGGTCATACAAGTCGGTGTTCTAATTGGCGAATAAATCATGTGATATAACTAACAAGCCACAGGTCATAACATAATGTAACTGGGAAACTATGGTCTGGGACTAGAGGTTATCTGCTATAGTATCGTGAAAACTCGTTTGTCTTTGTATTCGAGACAGAAACTGACCAAGCATTCAGTAGTGCAGACTACAGATGCCATTTGTCTGTTGAGTTAGTAGCAGTCATTTCAAAGAGGAAAACTACATTACTAAAGTAATACACAATGTGTAAATATTAGGCAGGAGTTTGGGACACAGACCAGAGTCTGTAAATATACTACTCATACAAGCATTCCGAATTAGCGACCTCCATAAAATAAAATGGTATACTCCGAATGGTAGTGCAGTAGGCTTGGTGAAATATCTGTGTTAAGCTGACACAAAGTAGTCGGATGAGTCACAGGCATCAAAATGATGCCAAGTTCGGAGAAGATGGGACGTCATAACAATTATATTAAATTGGATCCATAAAAGTTCCGCAAAAATACACACTGATGTCAAATAACAAGAACATGACAGTTCTAGTTGTATAAAATATGATCATATCCAATGGTAGCTTAGTTAGTGACTGACAACCTATCTCTTGAAGCCATGAATATCAAACTTGAGTTTTAAATTATCAGCATAATCAGTCTTTGAATATCACTAGAAGTCATAATTATTTTGATCCAAGGAGAGAAACCTTGGTACCTAAAGCATCCAGCTTTCAATTATCTGATACAAACACCCCTACATCCATTTCCGTCTGGACATTCGAGAGAAAAAACTGGTTCTTGAAACCAGTACTTGGTTAACAAGTTATATATATATATATATATATATATATATATATATATATATATACGCACACAAGTTATCATTAAATTTGTATGTAGGCTGTGATACATCCCAGGTGTCCAAACCGACACAGGTGGTCACTTCCCGAGTCTTTGACCAAGAGGTCTAATCCATAAGAAAGTGGAGCAACGTTAGGAAATGCAGTTCCATGGCAGCTGGTGACCATACGCCATTTTCTGTCTCAGGATTCTGGAGCATCATTGGTTTGGAATCAGGGTTTTCCAACTCTCCTAGATGGATTTAAGAACCGGATGTTCGCTTTTGTCCTCTCAGTTTTGTAAACTATAACCACTCATCCCCCTCCAAGAGTAGGTAGTGAATAGGGCTTCTCTGGCAATGATTATGTACTCGTGGTCATGTGAGAGCATTTTGAGAGGTTTATCCCTGACCTCGGTCGTACCAGCGGAACTGAGGGGTCATTGATTAATAAACATTTTCGGCTCCACTTTCTATTCAACGCTCAAAATTAGTTACTCAATAAACAGTTGAATGTTTATAACAGACAAAGAAACATTAAAATTTGAAGCTCATTTAGTGGAATAAGAATGTTCACGAAAGTAACTTACATAATATTAGCTTTATGCACAGCTGTTACACTACGTCGACCATTATCTTTTGCATATTGAAATGCATATCTAGCAACACGTCGACTTGCTTCTTCAGTGATCAATTTAATACTTTGTACAACACCATCCACAATCTATATACATACATATACATAAAGTGTTACATTAACAACAATAGTTTAGTACACATGTAGATGACAATGAAGCAAACAAAAATATCATGATATATTAGAAAAATAAACATACTACTCACAATTCCAAAAAGAAATAATGAACTCTTAACGAAACGACGAAACGATTTATACGTTAACAAAGATGAAAGAATATTTTCGTTTCCTTTTCTGTTTTATATGGTTAAAGTGAATAAGTTTAACTTTGGGATTAATGATAAGCAAAGCAGTTGCACGAGAGAAAGAAGAATTCAATGTAGAGATTAGAATGTTTACAAACCTATAGTTTATAGTTTAAACTGTTTACGAATAAGACGACATACACATGCATGTTTGGGAGACGATTCTCTTGCTCTAAATACAAAATATTGCTTCAGGACCGGTCTGCGTCAGTGCCTGACTTAATGATAGGGAGTGAAATGGTTGAGTGTACCGACCACTTAACTTATCTTGGGAGTCCCACAAGTCCTGATGGTCTGGTGTCTGATGAAATCTCAGCACGTATTCAGACAGCTCGATTGGCTTCTACGAACTTGTGTCAACTGTGGAGTAGACGAGATATATATCTGCCAAAGGAAAGACAAGAAGCTCCCAAACCAAAACGAGGCGCCAGTCCATGATATCATTGACAATTGGGCTGAGCCATGTTAACAGGTGTAAACTACCTGGTTAGGGCCTACTTGTCATCGTAACTAGTGGTTAGTGAGTTTATATGACATGACTCAAACTCGTATGAAATGACCCAGATGCATCCACCCTTTGTTTTCTACTGAATTCCTTGTAGTTCTTTTAAAATTTAATTAATTTATGTTTTCTTGAATCGTATTTTTGATGCTTAATCTTTTCTATTTTCACTGATACTGTTACTACCTCTACTATTATGGGATTCTCCCTAACAATGTCATCTTATTGTGTTATTAGGGTAAGACAACTTAGACCGATGTACATACATGCCAGGTTCTACGTTGCGTCTTAGTGGCTGACTGACATATTCCTTCGTGAATGGTAATTAAGGATAGTGATCACTGATCAACAATCAGTCAAATAACGTAATATACATCACTTTTATTCAGGTCAGAATGTTAAAACACAAGTGCACTTTCAACTAATAAGAACCTCAGTAATCATCAGGCAAATACACAAACATTATTAAACAACATGAAATTTGGCACGAATGTTTAATCAGTCACACTTTTTAAAAATCACCCGTAAAGAAAGCGAAGAAAAAATATAGAGTTTAAATGAAGAGTGTAAAATCGAAGATTGAAAAATGTATGAAAATAATACCAAATGTTTCAAAGTAAAACGAAAATAGAAAAAAAAGGAATCCAAGTTAATACGGCCATAAATCAAAATTATTTGATGAAACTAAACTAAGAAACTATACAGGCAACAAATCGAAGTAAAAGAAGATAAAATAGGATGTCAGTGTACGCATATTTATTCATCACAACTGAAATTCATACACTACCCAGAAGTCATGAAGTTTGCTTCAGTCCTGATGTAAAATCTTATCAGGGTTTCCAAACAGACAATAGAATGATGTGTCAAACCCAGCAAACTAGAATGAAAGATTATCCGTAAAGAAAAGCGAAAAACTGAAAGCAACCAAGATAACAAGAGGAATAAAGAAACAACGAAGCTTGTGCAAATGATGTATTTGACGTATGAGTTTCATAGTTTATTGAACCAATGTGTAATTGTGCAGTAAACAATAAATTGGTCTTCCCTATCGAAGTCTTCATTCAATACGGTACTATTATCATGAAATTACATAAAATACATTATACACCTCAACTCGTGAGATATCTGCTGTATCTACGGTGTTTATGTACAATAACAGGAGAGCAGTCCCCAAAATATGTATCTTAACTTAGTTACAACAAAATAACCATATGATAGGTAATGGCTATGTCGAAATTACAGTGGCAAACTAGATCGAAACAAAAACGAATAACACCAATCACTATATGGAAACTGTTACAAATGAAACAAATATTTAACGAGTATATTGGAATTAAAGGCGAACATTTAAAATGTTATAGAAATGCAATCACAACAATAAACAAACTGAGTGTCACCAGTTCATGTACATACGATGTTCAAAAGTTATTAGAATTACAATTGGTTACTGAATATCAACAAGTAGTATAGAATAATACAAAAAAAGGGAGCTGAGTAAAAACAGAAAAAAAACGTGAACAAACATAAAAAACATTTTTATTACTTACCACATGTTCTATACCAGAATATTCACCTTCAGTATTCTCTCTAACTGTAACCAAATCAACATTTTTATAAGGAGTTTCATAGCCTTCAATAGATTTACATGGTCGAACATTGGCATAAAGATTGAACTCTCTGTATAAATAAATTATGATAATGTGAACAGAGAAAGCTAGTACGATAAATTACCGTACATTTGTGAAGAAGAGAACAGAAATTTAAACTATCTAGAAAATTGTTAGGTGTCAATGCTACGATTGAACTTAATAGTTTGAAATAAATTGAGCATTGGGTAGAAAGTTAGTAATAAATATAATTCTTGTTATATCTCAGTCAATAGAAAAATTGTATTCCTAACGTTTAATGACTTGATGTAAGCCACTTCTTCAGAGTGAATAAACAACCCTACGGTTTACTGCACACCCTAAATCCAACACCATATCATGCTTCTATGGCTTACCAAATATTCAAAATCCTGATATTCCTTGAAGACCCGTAGCGGACCCACACCGAATTCATAGAAGTAGTAAATTCAGTGATGGTAATATATAAAAAAGGAAGATTTTATGTAAGGATATAGTACAGAAAAAAAGAGTTAGTTGGTAGAAAGAAAGATATGAAGTGATTTTAATCTCATGGTTTAAGGGAAGACAGAGAGTGTATATATCTACACCATTGTGATCGATTCTGAGCCATTTCATCCAGTCTTCAATCATTGGTTACGATAGTCATACGGACCCCAACCAAGTAGTCTGCATCTACCAACATGGCTCAGACTAGAAGTTAGTGATTTCAAGCACTGATGCCACGCTTTGGTTTGGCCGCGCCTAACTTTCTTCCAACCATTCCCAACACTAGTAATTGAGCGTCGTAGTAATCGGTGTTCAGGCATACGTAACATGTGGCCCAACCATCTCAGTCGATGAAGATTCATAACCTCATCAACTGATTTACCATCATCATTCCCTAATGCTCTTACGTCTAACCTCACTATTACTTACCCGGTGATCCCAGCAGACGCCAGCAATATTTCTGAGGCATCTGTGGTCAAATGCTAATAGCTTACGAGTGTCTTCTCCTCTTAATGGCCATTTTTGCGGCCTTAAAGTAGAACGGAACAAACTGCCGCGCAGTACACTCGTCCTTTTATTGATAGACGGATATCTCCCCTTCGCCAAAGGTGACGTAAGTTGGCAAAAGCCAAACGAGCTTTTCGAATCCATGCTGAAATTTCGTCAGACACCAACCTATTAGTGCTGATCAGAGTTCCAAGTGAATTTGTCGACGCGTTCGACTACTTCACTCCCTATCCTTAGTTCAGGTGTTGACACAGACCAGTCCACTTTTCACTTTCAAAATGACCCTATATAAATAAACAAATGGAGTGGCTATAGGAATTCCAGTACCTCCTATTGTCGCAAATTTGTTTATATTCCATATTGAGTCGCTTAAAAGAAGACAAAACTTCTGTGTCCACCAACATCTCCGCCACGAGAAGGCAGTGAGTAGGACTTCCCTGGCAGTAGCTGTATACGCAGGGCCATGTGAGAGCATTTCGAGAGGGAGAGTGGACTCTTCCCACATAAATATTGGTACAAAGGGGCACCGAATACATATGTGCCACACAAATCACTTGATTTGTGTGAGGGATGTGATGCTGCCCGGATGTCTAGACCGAACCAGGTGGTTCTCTCAGGAGGCCACACCCGGAGCCTTCAACCTAAAGGTCCGATTCACAAAGCAGTGGAGCAACGTCAGGAGATGCAGTCACATGGTAGCCGGTTACTAAGATGTGCTTATTACGCTATTTGATTCTTCAGGATCCTGGAGTTCCTGTGCACCATTGGTTTGGAACCAGAGTTTTCCACCTCCCTAGGTGGATCCTGCGTACCAACCAATCCGGTTAAAGTGCCGGTCATTTGCTTTCCGTCCTCTCAATTTCGTAGGCAACACGCCTATTGTACATGGATAAGGGCAATCGACAGTAAACTTTGTTTGTTGATAAATAGAGGATATCTTGTAATCGTCATACTGACATCAGAACTCATAGTATTTACTAAGCAACCTAAGTCAGGTAAGGAGAGAAAAAACTGAGTCACTTCCATCATTACAGCACCTCAGTTAATTAGCTCAGAGACCATTTAGAGATCATAATAATAAGTTAGTGGTCAGTAATAACACAAAGCCTGACATAAGTGAAAGTCAGACCAAGGTGCCACATCTTATCAGAACGGTAAGATCAACTGAGAGAGTAGATTTGGTAGATACTCAAAGCAAGGAAATATAGCCCAGTGACCAATTAATGTGAATACCGCCTTGTTCGGTTGAACTAGATATTCTCGATTTTACATTATGACTTCAACGATTTCCTCATATTTAAGTGATAGACTGCAATCATTTCGAAACAATTAGCAATAAAATAGTGCCTAACATAGGGAATACTAAAAGTATCGCTTTAATCATGGTTAAAGCATCTCCATTCCAACTACAGGGATACAAGTTCGAACCCAACCCTAGTCTACTTTATTTTGACAAGCTGGCAACTGGTGAAAACAACAAAATTATCCCCAATCCTACAAAATCCCTGAAAGGTGGTAACCGAACGCATATATTTTAGAATACTGATCGGCGAAACATTTTTGTATAACTCTTTACCTTTCGCAGTGTTTGAGTGTTATCGATGATTTTGTTAATTTTTCTTTTAAGTAATTTCCAAGGCCGAAACTCATGGATTGATATAACGGTTCTTAAGTATTTTGGGTCGAGTCTTAAAAGTTGATTGATTTTACTTGTAAGACAACAGAGTTAAGTACAAAATATAAAGTGATGAGACTACATGAGTAAATAGAAAGGTCAAACAAGGTCACTAATCATACAATTTAAGCACAGTTATGGAACTGATCTAGAATACAACTTTAAGTCAAACGAGTACAGGAACTAAGAAAAACTATTTATAGATTACTCATATACATTGTTTTATGTTCCAAATCGCACATCTTCAAACCAACAGTTATATAGTGTAAAAAGGAGATTCTGGAACGTATTTCACTCCAAACGTGTTGACAGTTTTAAAAACTGCATATTTTAAACAAATTTCAGGAAATCCGAAACAATATATAAACATGACCGGTAGTATGGCAACTAACCCAGTTGGTTTGGTCCCAGATCTGAGCCTTGCTCTAAATACTTCGGGTCTGAGTATCTAAGTGTTATACCCCTGAATGCCCTGGTACGGCCGAGAGTGGGGAGAGTCCGCTCTCCCTCTCGAAATACTCTCACACGGCCACGCGTATATAGCCTCTGCCAGGGAAGTCCTACTCATTGCCTTCTCGTGGCGGGGGTGTTGTTTACGAAAATGAGAGGACGAGAAGCGAATGTCCGGCGCTTTAACCGGATTCCAAACCAATGGTGCACATGGGCTCCAGTATCCTGCGGGAACGAATGGCGTATGAACCAATCGTTGGTCACCGGCTACCATGGGACTGCATCTCCTTACGATGCTCCACTGCCTTGTGGGTTAGACCTTTAGGTCAAAGGCTCGGGGAGTGGCCCCCTAAGATAACCACCTGCTTCGGTTTGGGCACCCGGGCAGTATCACAGCCCACACACAAATGATGAACTGTTTATGTCTATGGAAACTACTTTTGTCGCTTTGAAAAACAATCAATTGATTCAAATTATGATCACTTCAATTATTGTCATTATTAATACTAATATTATTATTACTACTATTATTGTCATTATTGTTATTATTATCATTATTATTATTATTTTCCACATTATTCACCTTCTTTTATACTTATACAGCGGCTCGTCTTTGGTGGAATTCCGACTGTATCTAAACGTTCTCGAGTCACTGTCCGGTTGAAAATTGTATGTTACCACCGAATACGAGGACTGAAGCAGATTTTCTGAAACCACGTGCATCATTCAAACTGGCTGCCTTCAACGTTCGCACATTTATGCAGGTCGGACAACAGATAGGGCTGGCTATGTCTTTGGAAAGTCTTAATATCGACGTGTGTTGTCTATCCGAGACCCGTATTCAAGACTCTGGCGAAGTACTACAAATTCGATCTCCATCTGTCGCTTCGAAAAGCTTGTTTTACGTGCGCTTATCCGGGGACCCTGTGGCATCTTCGTCTGGTTTTGCTGGCGTTGGTGTCGCACTAAGCGTTAGAGCTGAGGCAGCACTAGTCGATTGGATCCCCATTAACAGTCGGTTATGTGCTGTTAGATTAGAAAGTTCCATCAAAGTGAGAAGAAATCGGCGTGAGAAACGATGTCTTTTCGTCATCTCCGCCTATGCCCCGACAGATTGCAGCCCTGATGCAATCAAGGATGAGTTTTACCACCAGTTATCAGTTCTTCTCCAGAAAGTGCGTTCGACAGATATTGTAGTACTAGCCGGAGACTTGAATGCTCAGGTCGGGCGTCTAGGCACAGAAGAGAGTCGTTTAGGTGGCCGATGGGGACTCGTTGGTCGCAGGTCAGATAACGGGGACCGTCTACTGCAACTTTGCGCAGACCACAACCTGTTTCTGGCTAGCACTAACTTTCGGCACAGTCATCGCCGATGTGCCACCTGGCGTCCTCCCTCTGCATCTCAAGCCTGGACTCAGATTGATCACATCGCGATCAGCTACCGCTGGCGTGGTTGTGTACAAGACTGCCGCTCCTTTTGGAGTACCTATCTGGACTCTGACCACGCCTTGGTCTGCGCCAATCTTGCCTTACTTTTCAGTGGACAACGAAGTGAACGCCATCAACGGATTGATGTTAGCAAGCTGGTTGCAACTTCTGTTGCAAGTAAGTATCGAACCGAGCTAGCCTCTAGGCTAGCTACCACTCCACCGAAAAGTATAGATGAGCATTGGTTGCAATTGCATGACGCCATGAAAATGGCGGGAACAGTCAGTTGTGGGTTTGCGAAACGTCCCGCTTTTAAGCACTGGGTTTCTTCTGGTTCCTTACAACTCATTGAAGCCCGTCGGTCTACTCCGGGTAACCGTGAGTTTGACCATAAACGAAGGTTTTTACGTAAGGAAATATGGCAAAGCTTGCGTAAGGACCGAGAAGCCTGGTGGTCGATGCGTGCTAATGAGCTGGAAGCAGCAGCTGCATCTGGTAACTACCGGAAGCTCTTCCAACTCATCCGAGCCACTGGCAGCAAGAAGTCTGGTGTGAGTGAAACAATCTGCGAGGATGATGGGATGCCAATCACAAACATCCATCGACGTCTTGGACGATGGGCAGAATTTTTCGAAGGGCAGTTCAACTGGCCTGCTGCTCCGGTAACATCGGTCAGACTGTCCTGCCCTCCATGGCCGGTGACGACTGATCCACCAAATGAGGAGGAAGTCCGCAAGGAACTCCAACTCTTGAAGCGTTACAAATCACCTGGCTCAGATGACTTACCTCCGGCTCTTTTTAAAGATGGTGGTGACTTTTTGACTAAGGAATTGACGACGTTGTTTACAAAGGTTTGGGATCTAGAGAGTGTACCAACGTCATGGAATGAGTCGATAGTTGTCCCTATCTTTAAAAAGGGTTCACGTCGTTCTTGTAACAACTATCGGGGGATAAGTTTACTTCCGATTGCGTCCAAGCTATTGGCTTCCGTCATTCTTCGTAGGTTGTTCAAAACCCGAGAATGATTGACTCGCGAGGAGCAGGCTGGGTTTCGTTCTGGTCGAGGATGTATTGATCATATCTTCACCCTCCGCCAAATGTTAGAACACCGCCATACTTTTCAAAGGCCAACAATCGTAGTGTTTCTTGACATCAGGGCTGCCTTCGATTCGTTGGATAGGACTGTTCTCTGGGATTGTCTATTGAAGAAGGGTGTGCCTGAGAAGTTTATTAACATCCTAAAAGCCCTGTATAAAAACACCTCAGGCAGAGTGAGGGCATACAACCACCTCTCTCCATTGTTCCATTCGAGCAGTGGGGTTAGGCAGGGTTGCCCAATCTCACCATTCCTCTTCAACTTTGCCATCGATGACATTCTGGAAACAGCTCTGATGAATGTAAGTAATGGTGGTGTGGATCTGTTGCCTGGAGAAAGACTTCTCGACCTTGAGTATGCGGACGATATTGTCTTACTGTGCGATAATGCCCAAGGCATGCAATCCGCACTTAATCAGTTGGCAATCAATGTCCGTAGGTATGGTATGTGCTTTGCACCTTCGAAGTGCAAAGTACTTCTACAAGACTGGCAGGATCCCAATCCTGTACTCACCCTGGATGGTGAGCAGATAGACGTAGTTGAGAAGTTCGTGTATCTGGGTAGCTGCATAAGTGCTGGTGGGGGTGTGAGTGATGAGATCAATGCACGAATAGTGAACTGCTAGGAATTCTGTATGGGCTATTATTACGTATTTTTCTATTGGATAACTATTAAGTAACTAGATTATATACATATCCATATTGCTTTTATCATAAATTTCCATTTGACTCATTGGCTACTGTTATACGATTTACTATTCATAATTTATTCCCAATATACCAGTTACAGAATCCCTCACTCACATCCACTTGTGGCTTGATTTCGTATAATTATTACTTTTCATTTTATGGTGTGATGCGGTCTGGTCTGTTTGTATATAAACTACGCATTTCTGAAAAATACGATTCTTACAGTGGAGGCTGATATTTGTATTCTGGACTGAACAGGCTAGGTTAGGCGAGAATTTGCTATACAGAGGACCAATAAGGACTCGGGTATGATAGTGATGTCTGACGCATAGTTGGTTCAGTACACGGACAGGGTCATAGAAGTCAGTATTTTCATTGGTGATTTTTTCATGTGATATTTGACGGGCCGTAGGACATTGTACTAAGCATTATCGCTGACTAATCCAAAAGGCATGTTTTATATATGTATAAACCAGATTACCAAGTACACAGTTGTGCGTACAAATTACTAACGGGCTGTCTAGCTTAAATTATATGGTGTATTTGAGTCTGAGAATCAGCAAAAATTCAAATTCGAGAGCCTAGATTGCTGTGTTAAATGCCTCAGTTCTTTTCGCAGGACTGGAGTTGCTCTGCGAGAAGTAATTCTACCTTTAAATATGAAAATTCATTTCGCCCATTTTCATCCATAGAAAGTATGTGCTTTTCATACATAAGTACTCGAGTAATTATGAGGTCTATGAGTATAAATGCGCTGTATTACTACATAAAACTGAATAAGCAGTCCGAGATTCAGGTATAAACATATAGATGTATAATTTATTGCACAGTTATTTGATATGACCAAGTCAATTGAATGCAATGATTAGGAGGGACTTGTATTGACTATGTACACATCGGTAACAAAAAATATGGTTGCCACCCTCAAATTTGTATACTTCAATAAGTCATAGAATAACAAAAATTCATACTTGCTTTGACTGCGAATTAGTGAATGAAAATAGCACTTGCCATATATATCGGAACTTCAAATTACAGAGGACAAGTGATTATATGATTTGTGTTGATTGGTTCAGCATAAGACTAAATTGTTTAATAAAGTTTTCCCGACCACGTAGTAGCATGAATAGAAATGTGGAGTCGAGAAATTCCTATCTGACCACCCAACGACCTGAAATATTACTTCTGATTTGACTAATTCTTATTATTACCAATGACGATTTTCGTTTTAACCACAATTCTCGGATGCATTCTGAAGAAACCACTACTACTTAGGAAGAATGTGGTCTCATGTCAAGAACTATATATGTATTGCTTCATTCGGTATTTTAATCGAAACAAAAAAGCTTTGGTCTCTTAACTATCACATCATAAGTGGTTGTAAACATTCACACTACACTCCTAAACATACTACTGTTAACTAACTAGAAGACTAAAAAATCTTAGCCATCGTAATTTAGTCCCTAGAATGTGACAACTTATTGGTTACTACTCAGTGATCGATTAGGGCAAATTTCCCAATCCTACAAGCTAGTAGCGGGCCGATTAGCTAACATCCCAGCCGTTTTACGATTGGAAAGGAAGCATCAGATATACGTCTCTAACGAGTACCAACTAGCAAAGAACCTAGGTCTTAGGGATCTTAACAATAGCCTTCAACCACTTAGCAGCCATCACTAAGTTCTGATATTTCCAGTTGGCTGAAAGAAATAGAAGTAACAAATCAAAAAGCCAATTTTAGTGCATTACAGAGAAACAGAACTCACTTTCGTAATGCTAAATTTAAAGATTGGTGACCCTTCCCAATTGGAGTAGCTAATGGACCTTTTAACCCAATTCCATGCTTGCGTATAATATCTAGTGAAGACTGTGGCATACGAAAGCGACCGTCTTCTGTAGGTCGAGGTGTTACATCCACTGAATCCCATTTAATAGGAACCTGGTATTTTCAAAAATAAAAAAATTATGAAGTGCCAAGCGATAAAACCAAACTATTTTTTGCGACTGATTGAAACAAATAAGACTTTCGTAGTAAAAGCAAATACGTCAAACAGATGTGTCACCATGATAATTAGGATTTTCTATGCGTTAAAAACTCCAGAATTAAATTCAAACAGATTATTTTCGACTCTACAGAAGAGCTTGGGTTTGGGCACCAGGGCAGTATCTCATCTCTCACACAAATTGGATGGTCTATGTAGTGCATATCTATTTGGTTCCTCCTTGAACTAATGTTCATGTTTGAATACATAAGTAAATAAACCACAGAGGTGGGTAAAAAGTAGTTTTGATGTTCCACACAAGAAAGCCAAAAGTGTTCTTATTCACCAATGTACCGCTGTTTTCTTTTAATATTATGAGAACTCCAAATATAATCGGAAAAATAATTCATATGTTATTTAGACATGCTGAAATTACTAATCAGTTAAACACAGACAATTAAAGTCGAATGATCTAATCTTCTTAATGGTTTGGCTCCTTATAGTAATCACAATGCAGTAAACTATATACTGACTACGATACTCTGATTATTGGGTCCGATGGTTATTGGAATTACGTGCTAGCATAACTTTAGTTAGCATTAATCGTAATGACATACATTAATACAGATGGAAATCCAGAAAAAGGCAAGCGCATATAAACTGGAAAAACATCTAATTTGCATGACTATTGATGTAGTAATCAAAAATGAGTTTTAAACTAAGATATAGTAATTTGATGCGGAAACGTAACGTGTAACACTTGAGTGTTACATCGATTTTCAAATCAAAATTCGGAGATTCGGAACAAACATTTGTAAGTAAAAAAATGAGTTTATCTTGAGTTCGGTTGGTATGGTAAAGATGGAAAATTATGTATAAAACGACGTATTATTAATATAACGTACATCAGCAAATTTGAAAATTTCCTGAACAGCTGCCGATATTTCTGGACCTATACCATCACCAGGTATAAGTGCAACTGTTTTTATAGTGGTTGAAGATGACTTCCTGAATAAGATAAACAACCGTGAGCGATTAACAAGCAAACCTATTTACAACTCCAAAAATGCGCGATACGGAGCTCAGGAGTCGCATTTTCCGCGTCAAGCAATTGATAGATTGGAGTATTTAAACACAGTTTGTGTCGACACTTTTACGAAAGAAATAAAACTTGGCATGTTTTCATATTGTAAATTTTTCTTTGTGTGCTAAAATTTCAAAATAAATGAGATGAGTACAAGTTCTTTACTAATATATTGTAGATCACCAACGTAGATGATCTATGTCGAAATGATTGGAGGCCTACTCCAGTTAGACGTGAATGGTGTGACGAACCAACTAACGTCGAAGTCACACCTCGTGCACCTGTTGGGGAAGTTTTGACAAGAAGAGTTGTTTGAATAGGCCTTCGTCGAAAGTTCTTGGGCCTATAACCTCTCTCATCCGTTGCAACATGTCTGTCGCAGAACCGTGTTGCAGGTCGATATTGTTGAAGAGTTGATCTAACCTTTGTCGATCGGTTAGGTCTCCTCGTTTAAGAATCGAGCGTTTTAAGATTTCGTAAGGATCGGAAACATCACTAGTAAACACGTCGGGCTCACCAGTGTAGATCACCAACGTAGATGATCTATGTCGAAATGATTGGAGGCCTACTCCAGTTAGACGTGAATGGTGTGACGAACCAACTAACGTCGAAGTCACACCTCGTGGTCAGCACCTTACGTGGACTACCCCCATTGACGTAACAAGGTACTATAGATGCTTTGAAGACTGTACAACACAAAGGACGTTATTACAGAAATATATTAGTTAAGGTAGATACAGGCGAAAGTAAGACCACTGTCGCATGGGCCAGTCCATGGCGTATGATTAACTAATGCGCGTGTGTAGTACATGACCTTGGCAGGGAGCGACGATCTGTTCGACATTCAGTGATCCAACTGCCGGATGATTTGGCTAGGGCTCAGTGACATTTCACTGGCCCTACAATATTTTATTCACAAATTTCTTGAATCGAATCTTCTCAATAAACGATGACTAAAAAGTAATTGTAGAAGACTTAGGATGACTACTTGGGTTAGGGTGAATTGTGCAAGTTGTTGGATTTACAGTCATAAATTATTCGCTGACACCATGCCCAATCATACTCTTAACCGGAGCTTGTGACTGACAGAAATTTTGACGCCCCTGAAAAGCATCATCGATAAACAGGGAGGATCTGATGCAGACGTAAAGGTCAGGATTGAAAAGGTGAGAACAGAATTCCCACGACTGAAGAACATATGGAACTCAAAACAACTGTCAACCAACATCAAAGTCACAATCTCCAGTGCGAACGTCAATACATAGGTGAAAATTGGAGAACTACCACAACCATCATTAAAGATGTACACGTATTTATGAACGATTGTCTATGTAAGACACTGAATATTCGCTGATCGGATACCATGAAAAAACAGCCTGATGTGGAAGAGGACAAACCAGCTTCCAGTTGAAAAGTAAAATTAGAAAAAGGCGTTGACGGTGGTTAGGACATATACTGAAGAAATCATTAAATTGAGTCATGTGGCAAGTACTTGTAGTGTCAGTCATTATTTTAAGCCCATATATCTTATTCTAGTTTTTGGACAAACCAATCTATTCATTCTACTTGAGTCATATTTTGACCTTGTCAATTATTCGCTTGTCAGTCTTGATTGTTTTTATATGAGCGTATATGTGTGTGCCCTTCTTATTCCATGAATCACATGTCTGTAGCTTTTTTTGTCTGACTATAAATATTGAGTAACGCTTGACTAAAATGGAGTTGGCTTCCCAGCCATCTTCCCCGCGTGTCATTTTGCCTTGCTCTGTTTCATTCGCTTCATAAACAAAATATATGTATACACAGGTCGATTCTCGTTATTTGACTTATTTAATTCTGTTACTGACTAACGCGATTTAAGTCGACGATGATATACGAGAATAAGCGATAACAAACATTCGTACGGTCTTGGAGTCAGATCAAACGGGCCACTAAAGTGGTGAGCCCGCCGACGACGAGCGCAACGCAGCAAGCTACGTCGATGAAGAAACGGCGGCATTCCATATTTTCGATGAACTAAAATGGTAAGCCCGCCTTCGAAGAACAAATTCAGCGAAGCCAGCGCAATCTCCAATCCGACGCAATCAGCACAGCCTGTGCATCATGACATGGACGTGTTCACGTCGTATTATCTTATCGATACTTTGTTCTCACGTCAACTATTCTCATTGATCCATTTGTCGGATTGTTCCATTACTATTCAAATTATCATTATATGCTTATTATCACATTATTGCCAATATCATGACCGAATGTGGAATTATTAATTTTGTTCGTGCTGTCATTAAGATATCTGGCAATGGCTTTGAAAGAAGGTTCATCACCCACTAGATTCACATTTGCTCCTTTATGAGTGACCTGTAGAAGTCCTAAGTTAAAGAAAACAAGAAATATTATCTACATTGTCTGATTATCTCTTAATATCACCATCATTTGCAAAAAAGCTAGTAGGTAACCAAATAAATATACTCATGAACCATAACGTCATACCACTCGAAGCCCGACGAGACTCTATTAAAGTGCAATTCATTTGCTCTGAAAATCTTATGGGCACGAAGTAACTAATCAGACTGTGGAAAATGGAAACCTGCAAACCCTAGGATTCCATTTAGGAAAAACAGCTAGCGTTTCTCATAGAGTAGCACTAAGGTTCTTCTATGAGGCGAAATTTAGGATGGTAGAAGCACTCGGAAAGTACAAAGCGGATTAGCTAATTCTATTTTGAGGTGGGATTCTGTATGGATTGGTTTAAAATGAAGAGAGAAATTCGAGTAGTCTAATCTCCCCCTTAATATAAAAACTGACTGGAGATAGCTGAGTTTGAGAAAGGTTCTCCCATTCCATGAAGTTCTGCATTTGCGCTGTTACAACTCACCTGTAAAACATGTAATTTTTCAAAAGTTTTACATGATCTGCTTTCATTTTTGCATCAAAAGACAACTAAAAATAATTGGCCACGTAAGCAAGGTTTACCAGCAATCCTAAACAGTAATGGCACTGGACATGCATATCTATTAGTAACCGTGAAACTTTACAGCTTAAGTTTAACTTCACTGAACTCAGCTAAACTATCTGTCAAGTTGATTCCATCTATACAAAAAAAAGACTGGTGACTGAACGCTGATGACTAAAGAGGGTTGACCAAGCAGTGACACGATTTCTGCATACGATGGAGCATAGTCTCAATCTATGTTCATGAACTCTCGATAGTCTGTTCTGCTTATTGAGTAATTTCACTGGTAGTATTCTATCTATCTGCTATAGACATTAAGGAAGAGTAATATGCTGTTTGATATGCTGAGGTAGGTCAGGCTAAATGGTCGTAATATAGTATGACTTAGATTTGAAAATACCAAAGTTAAGCAGTCACCTCACTCCTGTTAAACTTGGATGGATAGAAGATATGAATTGAACGATATGTATAAACGCTTCATAATAATCATTTCCCGAACATATACAATCGATCAGATCGTAATCCAACTATTTTAAACATCATTTTGTTATCTATTACTGTTCTTTAATAATAGTAGCAACAATATAACGATTGAGGTATTATTGAAAACACTTTTTCTGCTCACAAATCCCCCCCAAATGAAATTGGACAAAAAGAAGAAATGCATTCCTGATTTATAAATAATATTAAACAAAAGAAACTCTTTGGATGAAAAAAAGAAGTAGGCAGTTATCCTTTACTCATATTTATTCATTTATCTGGATTGGATACATATATTGATTGTTTGTATATTCATGCTCGGGTTTTCAATAAGCAATGGCAATCAATGTAATTGTTTATCTTCTAAATTTATAAATATATATTTGTGTGTGTGTGTAAATTTGTGTACATATGTGGTCACTTTTAACTCCATATACGAGCTATTCAGTACAAACTATTGATTTTGTCGAATCTCTCTCACTCTCTCGATATATATATGTATAAAAACTTTTATACACTCGGCGAATATTATTACAGAGAATATAGCTCAGGTCATTAGTACATAAATAATAGTGAAGTTATAGAAAATAGGCGCTGAGATATTACAATCTGTTTATCCGTACTTTATCTATGTAGGTATGTAGGTATGTAAGTAGGTATGTATGTATACGTATGTAAATGCAAATCTCTTGAAAATTGTTTGAATGCACTTAAAGAGAAAGAATTAAGCAAAACATCAAAAATACTGTATTGGTAACTTCGTACTAGATATTTTCTCTGTCTCTCTCCCCCTCTCTCTCTCTATCTCTTTCCCTGCGGATTATTGTTTATAGTAAATAAATAGTTTTGTTCCTGATTTATATCCTTTTAATCTATCATTATTGCTCATAAATGAAAAAAATATATATATCACTATATTAATGATATCTTGAAATATATAAATATGTTAATAAAATCATTATTATTCTCCATTCTATTGTGCTACCGATACAGTATTATCATTCTCTGTGGTAGCACGATATTCAGATTTAGCACGAACAAACTCTCTGGCTACATCATCTGTATTAACACGTTGTGAAAGTACACGTAATACAGTCCATCCAGTTTCTGTAAAATGTAAACGTCGTCCTAACGGAAGTCGAATTGGAGTTGCACCAAGATTTAATGCTCTAGATAAAGATAATACTGTGACACCAACAAGACGATCAGTTCGTCCAAAACAATAATCTTTTACAGATAAATGTAATTCATACCATTCAGGATCACTTTGATTGGATAAGAAACTGTTAACAATGCAAAAATGTCAAAAATAAAATTTATTAAGTGTTAGTTTTTTTTTACCTTAGGTGAATGCATTTAGTGATGTATTCTCCAAAGTGAAAAATTTAATCGTGAAGTTTTCATTGATATTCTGGACATTACTTTTAACGCTCACTTCAAAGTCATCAAAACAAGCTGGCTCAACGCTTTCAGAAAAACTGAAAAACCCACTTCTACATAAAGTAGACACAGATGATATTGTCCAGAATAAAACTGACAGTTCTACAATTAAATTGTCTAATTCAAGGAACACAACACCACCAAAATGGAAACATGTATTAAGATATAAGAATATATACAGGAAAAACGAAATCAACTGGTATTACAAACATTCTATCAGTTAAGTCATAAATGGAAGTAAATTCCTGGACAATATAAATTGACTCACATCGAGAGATGCAAACTACAAGAATGTAACGGGCTAACTGGTTGTAATCTATACTCAAAACGTTAGATAACATAAGTTGAATTTAGATGACAGTAACTTTTATAATAACTCCGCCTGTAGCTCTTCTAGAGTTACTGCCGGTCCCAAGTCCGGGTAAAGAAGGAGGGTTAGGCATGGGGTTAGCGACCCCATCCCGTAGAAAACTAACTCGCTAAAAAAACGCTAACCAGAAAAACAAAACTCTTATAATATTTACTACTCAATTTTATGTTCTTATATTGTTCTTCTATTTTATATCTGGAATACCTTGAATCATCTCAAGAATTAATATTCTAGTGTTTTAAGTTCTACTTTTTGTGTAAATAACACATTGAAGAAACTTGTTTTCTTGATGTGGGCTATGTGTTTCAGAGAGAACTCTGAAAACTACCAAAGTAAATGACCTGATTCTCAATAATTATCCAATATACTATGTGTCTTTGCTCCATCTTAATAATAGGTTTATCTTCACTGATTTCGTTAAATTATCTCAACTTTATTTCAAATCTTTAAGTAGTCAAGCGTCAATATATACACACACAAGAAATCATATATATGTATCATTTAACTGTAATCATTTTTAGATGAAATATCGAATTTATATTAAGTATACTTACAATACAAAGGTTTCGTGATAAATGGGCATTGTAGTAACTGATTTCGATTTTGTAGCAGCTTTACGTTTACGATCAGATAATAATGGTCCAAAAATATAAACTTCTACAAATGGTCTAAACATTCCAGTGGCAAGAGACCAATTCAAATCTGAAGCTGTATGAACTAAACAAAATATATATTATATGTATACAGGTATTGATTGTCACTGAATGATAACTGGATGCACAAATTACTTTAATTATATAACTGTATATTTGAGTGTATAACTGTTGAACGTCTAATACTAGTACATGTATTTAATCTAGTCATTCACAGATTTTCATCCCATTCACATTCAAGTTTTGTTAGATGGTTGCATGTGATACTGTGTGACTATGATGGAGTTTTGTTCTCTGAGATGGATGGTTTAGTCATGGAGCTTTCATTGTTCTTCTGAAGTCTTCTATCTGAAGTTTGTGCTGATGATGTCGTTCAGAGAACAAAACTCCGTCGAAATCATCCACGTGAGCTATAAATCTTCTTCACCTTCTCAATACTGTGTGACTCAACGATTAACAAAACATTCTGTTAATTGTCTCTTTATTATTTGAAGAACCAACACTTTGCCGCATGCCAACCTATTTTAAGATCTTAATTACGCCTTCTTGACAAAATAACCATTCCAATATTTTATATTTTCCAACTGTTATCCGGTTTATTCCTTCCAAAAAATCAACAGTTTTTGAGAAGACCTTATAAGGACAGACATTCAATGAAACGATTACGAATTTTTCATGTAAGGCTAATTAATTTCATGTTATTAATATAGAGTTAAATACACTGACTGATCACTGACTAATGATCATGTTTCGTTGGTGTAGTCTTTAGTTATGGCAATTCTGTCTATCAGTTTACAGTGTGTCGATTAATATAAGTGACTTGGCATTACTGTCGAAAAACAGCATTCGTAGCATCTCAGACAGTGCAGCTGACTAAGGTTTCAATTCAGCAGGAAGCATTAGTTCCCTTAAGATTACAAGCATGCCTTGTTGATGAGTGTCAGATTGCATGAAACCTCGATCCTGGGTCGTCTATCAACTACCTTCAAACACCTAACATGTCTGTATAAAAATTAAGTTTGTTTAAATATTTTTCTCAATCTACAGTGAATAATACTAAGTCATTTTCAAAACGAAACTTAATTTCCCATAATAAGGACTAATTCATTCTATCACTCCTATGAAAGAATAGTGATTACATTGAATCTACACTTAAATGTGTTTAGTGTTAACTCGTATAGTTGCACCGCTTATTAAATTATGACCAATTTAAGCCCTTTTGTCCAACGGTTGTAGTTTAGTTATAGGAGTCTTGTAGAGGTTGGTTTAGTTTGTAAGTTTTACTCATCACAGATATCATTTGAGGTGCAATTAACAACCAGGAAGTATTCCATAGCTATTTCGTCCTATTTTATGACTTATAAACAGGGTAAACTCTAAACCTTATCAGATATTAAACTCAAGACATTTAGGTTTTGTGGCGAACAATTAATCTTGAGATTGTCTAAACATATCACAAACTGAATGAAGTTGTATTTGTACAATCACGTTCCAATCCATCAGTTCTTACTGTTAAGTGTTTGCCTTGAGACCCAAAGGTTGTTACTTATAACCGAGGTGAATTTGTGAGCACCTCACAGTTGAAAAACCACATACTAGAACGAAATAACAGTCAGGTTTTCTCTGGTTTTCAACAGAACCCTAATTTCGGTAAAATTTTGTTGAGTATAAGTTTAAAAAGTTATAATTGTACTGTTCATAATCATCGAATACTATTCCTGATCCAAAAGTGTAGGTAAACAGCCAATAATAATAAATCCAATCAAATCATAAAGTTCACACTATTGCTCATTTAACGAGGATATCATCAAGGAAAGTCCATAAATGCATACATCATGTGATATGCATTGAGCATTTCAAAGAACTCCAAATTATAATTACAATTAGATCACAAATAAAAGAACCTCTCACTTTTGTGTTAATCAATACATTGAGTCTTATTTTATTTTTATTCTGATACTCAATTAATTTCAAAAAACATTTATAACGGATTAACACTTAACTCTCCTACTTTCTAGCACATGGATAAGGCTGAATTGTTGATTTGTTCAACCGGATCCTATGACGCAGTCATGAAAACACACAGCCTACTGAATATTTACATAATGGGATGAGACAGTATTTTCAGGTCCTCAATGGTTAACAAACTTAAATCGGTTCATGATGTCAATAAATTTCGAAAATCTGCACACATGTATCTATGTTAATAGATGTTTGAAGAAAACTGCTCCTGGTGGTACATTTTTCACCGTCATCTGTGTGTATTTCGTTTGTCAATGTGATATATGCTAGTGAGCTATGATCATCTAGTTATTAAAGACAGATGTATCTAATCATCTTGACAAATGGAAATATTTTATATCTAACTCTCATTCAAGACCTCTACTGAGTGACTCCTTATACTTTGTATTAACAAACTTATCTAATCTAATCACTTGCTGACCAGATACTGTGTATGCTGCTATCATGTAACATACTTTAGTGATCTCACTAATCTATCAAACCTATTATCTACATATAATGTCAGTAGTGTATTTATACTAAACCCATACTTAAACCGGTCGTACTATCCTGTGGCGAATAGCTAATCTTTTAATGTTTACGTTATATTCACTGTGTCATTGCATTACCGACATCTTATCAGTCAGTCAGTCAGTTAGTAACAACGTAGAAATTCGTACGTACGTACATCAGTTCAAGTTGCCATACCACATTAGCACAGAGATGCAGTTGTCGATTCGAATTCCGTAGTGGTACAAGTAGTAAGAGTATAAGCAGTAATCGGAAAACAGGGCTTGGAGATGTTATTCAAGGGGTATAATCCATTGAAATAAATTTGGAAAGAGAAAAAAAGGACATGAAGAATTCAGAAGATTAGAATTTGGGAGAACACAAAGAGTGTATGCACCTGCGCCATTGCAAACGATTTTCAGCCATGTCATTCAAGGTCTCTAACCATCGGTTGCTATCATCTCGCGGTCCCCAACCAGGTAGTCTACACCTACCAACATGACTCAGTCCACTTGTCAGTGACTTCATGGGCTTAAGAAGAATAAACTTTCTCAGAACTATTTGAAAGACATCATCACTTTTGCATGTCTATCTCCAATTAATAAAATATATATGTATATATTGTTTATTAAAATTTCGTAAGAGTATCAGAGATCTTCAATCTTCCTGTCGGCATTTTGAAGAATACAATAAACCAACTATATAAATTTATGGTTGGCTGTGATATTATGTTTTTTATTTTTCTAGTATCGGACTACTAGTCAGTGTGTATACTCAGTTTTATGTTGATCCATTTCTGGTATTTAGACACAGAGTATACAATTAACTACTTGGAATATGATAAATTAAAACCATTGGTGTTTCATAGCAATGATACGTTTAGATTTTCTACAGTAAACTCTAACATCATCTGGATACCTACTGAGGTCTACTGGAAGTTTAAAAATACGATAAGTCAAGTGATCGGATTATATACTTAATAATACCTCGTAACGAAAGAGTTTCGCTACAGATTTGCTAACAACAAACTTTGTGATTGATAATATTTTGTGATGGAATTTCTTTGAAATTATCTCCCATCATATATCCTTATTAAATTTTGGGGGAATTTAGATCATAAAGTCTACCTAACACTATCCGAACAACGAATATATTTACAGATACTGATCAGGGTTAGGATAGTAAATGATATTAGAAACCATACATATCTGGAAAACATGAAAAATGAATTAAAAGCTAGTAATATTTCGATAATGATATTAGAAGACGAAGATTATCAGAACTATGTGATATATTAGCGCAATACTCTTACCCCGTTTCCTGTCTAGTTGACCTTTTATTATTTTTATATATAAATGCTCTTAACAAGTATATGTGTGACCAGATTGTTCGAAATGTATTGCACTAATATATCACATAGTTCTGATAATCTTCGTCTTCTCATTGCATTATCGAAATTTATCAAAGGGACTAATTGTTTTAAATTTCTAGTAATATTTGTCAAGACAAGTATAAGTATGATTAAATGCGTTTTCCAACTTTTCCTTTCTGATCTTTTGAGCTTCATGTTATACAATCATAAGTTAATCATATTTGATTAAGTGTGGTGTTTGAATGAACTAATGATACCATTGTACTTGTTGAATGTTTGATTTCGAATTCTAAATTCAGTACATTCGTTTGTGCTTATCTAGTACTTCTTGATTCAATTACGTTATTTCCGAGACTCTTAGTTCTTACTATAATTCAAATACTTAGAAACACTATAGTAAGTTCAATCTAAATGAGTCTTTAATTATATTTCTAGACACTTCAAACTATGAAAAAAGAATACTTTAATCATTTCCTGATTCTGATTACATTTCACTCAGTTACTTGTTTTGATCAATAATGATTGTTTCCTTCATATAATTAGTTCCCTTTTCAGATATTTTTGTAAAGGACTTTAGTTTTCGTTAACAAAAACAATACAAATAATCAACTGTTATTGCATACTAGGCTGACGTTTGCTAATAGGATTAGGAATAGAGTTGTGAAGAAACTTGTGTCATCATTATATCCAAAACAACTGTTCACAGTCAAATGAATCTCGTATTATCCAAACTGATATACTAATAAATTTTTCTGCTTCATTTTAATTGGCACAGAACAATAATGACTGATACCATGTTCAATTCACCAGCCACTATATACTACTTGTGTTGACATAAGTAGTATGTAGCAACAATCAGAAGTGGAATGCATGCCAGCAGAAGGTTGATTAGATCGAATTGAAAAGAACAGAAATATATACTGTGAGTAATTGTAATAGAAACAAGAACAAATGAAGGATGAAATTTTTAGGAGACAACTGATGGAAGATGTTCAAATGAAGTATTTAATGTATAGTTTTCATATTTTAGTAAGACACTTTATAATTTCACATTAATTTATAAGTTGGTTTTCCCCACCTTATCCTTCGTTCACTACATTACCACTCATCGACAGAATAAGAAATACAGTGATAATGAGACTTGACTTACTTTTCACATTTACTTTATATTCACCGGTACCAGGGTGCTTGAAAATTTCTACTTGAAGTGTTAAGTAGCCAACTGGTTCCTCATTGGCCAGATAATCTTTAGTGAATAATAATAATTTAGAAAATACAACAACAAAAATGGGAATCAAAATCGTTTCTGTTTCTTTTATATATATATATATATATATATATATATATATATATATATATATATATATTTCAAAATGTAATAATAAATTTAACTTATTGGGATGTGTGATTTATGGAGCTTGTTCAACCTGAGAATAGTTTATACAAAAGGTTGAATAAATCGAAAGTATCTAATATACCCTCAAGTTGAGACTCTTTCACGACCTGTCAGTACTTGAAACGTACTTGTTGCCTATAAACTACTAAGTTGCAACTTAAGTAATTTACAGTTTACAACCTAAGTTAATCTATGAAGATGAGCAATCATTATTCAATGCTATCTATGGGTGTTCTCCTCACCCTCAATATGGCTTAATTCCATTTGTCGTCGATTCTCATTCAAAACTTCAAGAAGCTCTTACAAGTACAATTCAGAAAAAAATGAATGCTTTTCCAGTTTAACAGATATTTTAGTCACTCGTTTGAAATCTAACAAAATGTCCGAACCAGAAAATCCAATGCTTTTGAAAGTAGACTTGTTTCTCTTGTTCAGTTGACAACATGACTATGTGATTGAATGTTGATCAAGAAACATTTTAAATGGGTTAACAAATGAATCCACTTTTTAATTACTGAAATTTTTAATCCCAAAAGTAATTGTACATATTAATCATTTTGATGATAGGAACTTGGAGTTCGTAAGGAAAAAACCTTGGAAGTGGTTGTCATAATAATTGGTATTCATCAGCTAAATGTATATGAGATCTCCAAGAAATGTGAAGACTTGGTGAGTCTCACCACTCACCTTAGTATGATTGAGATCATGAACCAATTGATGTTAGACCACCACCTTTAGAAACCTGGAAGGACTGGACGGCCGTTTCGTCCTACTGTGGGACTCCTCAGCAGCGCTCACCCACGATCCCGCTAGCGGGATTCGAACCCAGTGCCTTCGGTCTCGCGCGCGAACGCTTAACCAACTGGACCACTGAGCCGGCATCCAATGGTGATAGTGTCTAACATCAACCAATCCATGAAATTGCGCGACCAACTTCCATTGTACTGAAGTAGATACCTGTCTCTACCCGACATGGATTAGCTCCACTGATCACGGCTTCTCACTAGAACTCCGAGAATTCCCTCACGAAGCTAGTCACTAGTGAGCACATGTTGAGTACTAGTATAGAGGTTGTGGAGATTATTAAGTTTTTGATTGAGATCATGAACCAATTGATGTTAGACCACCACCTTTCAGGTTTCTAAAGGTGGTGGTCTAACATCAATTGGTTCATGATCTCAATCAAAAACTTAATAATCTCCACAACCTCTATACTAGCACCTTAGTATGAATTAGATAGTTGGTCATTCAAGTCGATTTGGTAGATATTCATTGAAATTATATAATTTCAAACTCTGAACTAAAGTAAACAATTAATGTAGCCATAGTTCAATGAACAATTCAGTTTAAAATAATTATTCATTCATCATAAGTAAAAAATATTTTGTCTGTATAAAACAAGTCATTACCTTGTGAAGTTTGTGTAGCTATAAAATCTCGAAGTAATTCATCTGTAGCCTGAGAATATAGAGCTAATACTTGTCGTAAACTATGTAGTTCTGGACTTCTATCAAGAAACGAACGTTTCACACCACGTCCACCAGCATGAAAATATACACGAATTGTATTCAAGCAAATACCAAGTAATTCACATTGATATGGTGTAAGGCCTTTTTCAGGTTCACGTGTTGTTTCCTACAATACAATATAAATGTCAGTTACATATCAACTCATTTCACCTATTCAAAATTGATGAGAACTGAACTATCTAAAATCTATAAGTCATGGTAGATCATGTCTCGAGGCTAAGCCTCCGCACACGAGACCGAAAAACCTGGGTCCGATTGCTACGTGAGGGGTCATGGATACTCAGTGTTGAGGAGTCTAATACTAGGATGAAACGGGAGTTCAGTGATTCCAGATTGTCAAAGGTCCTTTTACATTGATTGGTTCATAATTTCAATAGATCATATGGTTGAATTATAACAAACAAAATCCTCCAATATCACCACCCCAAACACACTTTTGTTCATGTGAATTTTGTAGTTAAGGTAAACATGAAAATAGAAGAAATTGATAAGTCCCAAATAGGATGACACAAGAGTCCTGAATCCCACTACTAGTTACCATCCAAATTTAAAATTAAATTTGGTTATCTTACAAAAGTGAAGTGTTATCATCTTGTTAGTCAACATATGGTATTGTTCAATATACACAGTTGAATTCCAACTGATAGAGCTTTTGTACTGAATTAGTGAGAACGATAAATCAGATCATGCCATTCAGTTATTCATAAACAGTACCGGATCCAGTACAGATGAGATTCACATTAAATTTATATGCTCCACAACATACCAGTGTGTAAGAGAGGGAGAGAGAAAGAGGTACAGAAAAAAATCCATCAAATGAGAATCGCTTAGGTCGCAAAACCACTTGCATCGATGGCAGAAGAAAGATCTATCACTACTGAGACGCCAGATATGGAGAGAGATTAAGAGTGAATACATTTGGTTGTATTTGATTCATATGTGAATGAAGTTGCGAAACAATTGATGACTTAATCTATGAAGTAACTAAGGTCAACACTAACTGGAAAAAACAAATTCCACTTCAGATCCACACGACATAACAACAAAATGCTAAATAATTGTTCTCATAATCTTCAATTGTTTCATTCAGCTAGTGATTTGAACATTGAAAAATAAACCAATGAATTTAGACTTGACTTATTAATGAATAATGATTCTTCAAATACTTGTTTGTATTATTTTACCTGTCTTACTATTTAATTGTACCCTTTTATAGGCAAACTTATCAGACTCCATTCACATTTGATCACTGGTTAACTTTATACATTTCCTTATATTTATCCCACAGTGTAACAAGTTCATTTGACAACACGATATTAAAATTCCATTGTAATATATTGGGAATGTTATTATTAAATCTTCCAATCAAAATCTCGATATGATTTTCTATCCACTTCTAGTAACTCTGGACTAAATATAAACAACCTGAACATAAGAGAAAATGTCAAAAGTCCCGAAAGAACTTTTACTCCAGTGTTAAGGTACACATAGAAGATCGTGTGTATTTATACCTTTTAAGGTGAACTTAGTCATCTAAAAATGTTCTAGGAGTATACTAAATATAACAGAGGAAGATAATTATTCAATCAAAAACATGACATGTGATCTGTCACCCTTCTAGAAGTTTCAAAAACACTGTTATTCAATACAGATTGAATAAAATATTTCACTTAACAATGATATTTCATACAAGAAAATGAATAGGTGAATTATGAGAGTGAACGTATGGATGAAGTTCGAATTGACTTCATCATTAAATTTAACAGTATTTGGATTAATAGGGATATCAAACAATATGTGAATTATTGAATAAATTTATATAGAGTTCATCAATATGCAAAGAGATAAATAATCATGCATCTATACAAAAAGCACATACTGATAATTAATCATCTGTGGTAGTACCTGTTATGCCACAATAAGCATAATGAATGGTAACTTTGGGATCCATTTATGGACCAATACTATGTGTGTATTTTTTATCGTATAATTGTTAATTAACTTAACTATTCATATTCATGTCTCTCTTATCATAAGCTTTATTTTAACCTATGAACTGTTATTCTACGATTTACCATTCTTGAATTATGCCCTGTCTATTAATCACTACTTCCCGTTTGGCTAAATCTTGTAAAAATGTTATTTACTATTTTATGGTACGATGTGGTCTGTCTGGTTGGTATATAAACCGAGTATGTTTGAAGTATGTGATTGATATCGCAGAGGCTGAGATTAGTGTTCTGGACTCAACTGGCTGGGCTAGGCAGGAAGCACGACCGATAAATAATCTAGACTGCTCGCATGGTTTTAGGCGTCATTGTTTCGATCGATAATTCACTGCTCTCTAGTTGGTGGTATCATTACTTTATACATTAACAAGGCGCACAGGCCACAAGTTATTCAAATGCAAGCTGAGCTTTTATAGGCAATTGTGAATAAACTAGATAATCAATTGAATTCAACTATGGATCCTAGATTTCATGAACAAGAAAACTTACTATGAAGGTATGGATCAGTAAACTTTAATACTCGAGAAGCTAAGTGAATCAGTTTATATATATATATATATATATATATATATATATATATATATCTTGGCACGAAATTCATTCATTTATTTCGGAATTTTAGTTTGTCAGTTTGTGATGAAAATCCTAAATCTAATTCCAAACAATAACCGTCAGCTTTAAATCATAATTCTTATTCCTCAAAGTGGTTTATAATACTCTTTTCGTCCTAGTTAGTAAATGGACATTCTTAAGGTTACTTTAGCGTCACCCAAAGGTTGTCCATAGATTACAGCTTCACCATTTATCTTTATTGTAGTTTTTCAACTAACCTTCATTTCACTGTTACATCATCTTTCAATCATTCAGAAATCGCAGTTAATTAACTCTCAGCCTTCCTTGGCCTTAATTCCTTTAATGGGACCTGCAAGTTTGTTACTTAATTTTATTTCAGAAAAATTTCATCTACAGTTTATTCTAAACTGGTATGTTATGCAAAGAATTAAGTAGATTTTTGAGTCTAAATAATAATAACACACAAGAAATCGTACATGATCAAATACATGGAACTCAACTAATCTTTACAGTGTTATGATGAATAGGTTTAAGGAAGGATGAGTTTTATTTGCAAACTATCGCATATCTTGAAATACAGTTTTGTGTAGAGTTCATGGATTGAGCGTTATTAGTCCAGGTGGAAATCAAAATACAACAGACAACCATTCTTCTTCTTCTTCATGCATCGATTAAATTTTCAGAGTTTGCAACAACAGATAGTTTTGTTTAGGTTCTTTATCTGATTGGACACAGTTCAGTGGTTATGATTCAATTCAACCTAGCTTTTAAATAAATAGTATATTTGTAATATCCAAATGAGTAGGAAAATTAGATTTTCTGACGTTTCATGGCTTAGTGTAAATCGCTTCTTCAGAGAATAGCTTTGTTGATCTTTTCGGGTACAAGAGATAGTTTAATCACAGAAGAAACATTTTTAAACCCTCCCACATTGTTTCTAGATCAAATACCTTGATATCTTGATCTCTACTAAATAACCTAATGTTAATAGCACTGAACAAGAGTTCTTTCTTTATACTAATGATAAACTATGTTGTTCAAAATTTAAGTGAAATACAGAAGACTATGATTTCACAAAAACAAAGTTATTCAACTTACAGATAAAATTTTCCCCTGTACAACTTGACTACCAACATGACTTAATAGGCTTTGTGCCCCACCAATTAATTTCGCTGATGTATTTGAGCTTAAAAGCAATCCCGTAGCCAGCTAAAGGGAAGAAGAACACAATTTTATTTCATACTAGTTAAATGTTAACAGTAAACTGGTAGACTGTGCTGTTTTAGACAAACAATATACCTTTGTTCACGTGCTATCATAAGGATAAACTACAGGCGAGAGATAATGAAGAAGGCACGCTATTAGATAAAATCGATTATACACTTGTCAAATTCGTGGGGTATACATACTTGTCTAAATAAATGATTTGTGTACACTTCATTCAGTGTCCCAATTACAAACTTGAAGATGTTTCTTGATGGTATGAACTTATTATCAGTTAACTTGTTCCATGGATTTCACTCAATGATGAAAAATAGAGATATAAATTCAGTTTATCTCTTTCCGTTATCGAACTCACCTAGTGATTTGTGGTGATTATATTTAACCATAGAAAAAAAGATTACATGTTTTAAAACTAAACAGATCCCCCTTGGAAGTTGAAGAATAAATATCGGTTACTAACTAACCATTATCATCATTCATTAAATCTAACCGAACTTTATGAATCAAATTTGAAATGCTTAGGATAACATGAAACAAGGGTACTAGGCTTCATAACGTTTTTACACAACTAAAATGAAATTTTAATTCATTTAAATATTGATTCACCTGTTATGGTGGCAGCAATGTAAACTTTCCTCATAGAATTCTGTTAGCATCATAATCTAAACATTAAAATAATAATTTCAATAGTTGAGGTCATGGGTCAATTGAATCTAGACCACCATGGAAAACCTGAAAGTACTGAACAGCCGTTTCGTCCTATCGTGGGACTCCTCATGATCTCAACCATTGAAATTACTATAATCTTCACAAAAAACCCCTTCTGATATTAAGATATTTAATGACTAATTAGAACATGTAATACAAAAATTGTCTTGTCGCTATTTTTCTATGACCAAACGTTTGACTATATTAATATAAATTTTCGCTTTGAGGTCTTGAATGAACAGAAAAATATGAAAGACCCATGTCAATTTGGGTTTACTATGAAGCCAAATATAGTAATACAACATTTATCTTGTTTAAAAAAGGTATACACTAAAAGTCTATGACATTCAACACAAAGTTTATACCAGTTGCACAAGCTAGTGACGATTTGAACACAGTACTTTTAAAGGGTAGCAAGTTCAGCATTTGAAGCAAAAAATATTAGACCCAAGTATCGGGGTGAACACGAACACTTGCATACAGGTACATCTAGATGATAGGTCTTAAATATCATGAAGTGTATTCTGGATCCCACAGCTAGCCACTTCACAACTTTATGATGTTAACCTATCCTTCATTATATTTGCTTAAATTCACTTCTAAAAGACCTAGTTCTCAAAAAGAAATAACTTCTTAACTCACCGACATGTTCGAAAGACTGATTTTGCGTTCAGAACAATTCCTAACCTTAAAACGAGATTCTTCCTGATGAAATCCAGTTTAATTTAACGTCTAGTAGCAGTAACCATTTTTCACTTCTTACTGGTTACTGAAAATGATTTAATGTTATGAACACAACAAGTCTATAAAAATTCAAACATAGCATATTCCGGATAGTGACTAACAATGTAATTAAAGGCTCGGGTTTTGTCCTGTTTTAGACGTGATAGCCAGATTTGTTTATATTTCACCTTTAGTGTTTACACTTAGATTCTGACTAAGTAACCATTTGTCCAAATGCTAAAGTTTTACCTACCAAGCTACTGAGTCAAGTTTGATTCAATGGGCACTGGATTGAAATCTTAACTTGCAAACGAACATTGAGATCCAAGTACATTTACACTGTAAGTCCTGTGCAGAACAAAAGTCCATTCTTCATTTTATCACTAACACTTATTTGGAACTCACTTAACTTGTGACTGAATATGATATCAAGAAATTTCTTCAAAGACTATGAATCTCAACAGAACATTATCAATTATTTCCTGAACATCACCAAAAAATAATGTTGCTCAGAATTTATAGATCAAACAACTTAATAAATGATCGTTTCTCTTCTGAAAATTCCAGAAGTAAACGAACATAGATTTATGTAACATTCAATCAACACAGAATGTACACATAAATTAAAATATGAAGAGGTAAGAAAACTATTTACCTGTTTTTGATCAGTAACTGCGGGTAGTACAACAAGTTTTTCTAAATTACACATTGTTATTCGCCATAATTGCTTGAAAAAATTAATGTTTGGAAATACAAACACAAATAATTAAACAAGAACGTTGACAACTATTCTAATGTACTGTTTGGTATAACATATATATATACAAGCTTTACATTTTGGTGGAGTTTTGTTCTCTGTTGGGATTGATTTCAATATATATCATATCATATTGAAATCAATCCCATTTATCAACCAATCAGAAAAATCATGCACAAACATAAGAACAAAAATCAAAACAATGGAAGACACAAGCAAAACAAAGAAGTAAACAATGACGAATTTAAGGTCAATAAGAACCAATCAGCATCGAGGTGCACAGAACAAGCTTTGAAACACATATGGAGAAATTCAAATACTTCACCTCTATTTGAAGTTTGTGCTGATGATGTCGTTCGGAAGGACGATGAAAGCTCACAGAACAAAACTCCACCAAAATCATCCACCTGAGCTACAAATCTCCTCCACCATCTCACAAGCTTTACATTGTCAAAAAAACAGTCTAAGAAGTGTACACTTATATGTGTACTTATTTGGGGAAAACGAATGAGTAACGTAGGGAAAATGGGCAAAAATTAAGTAAATCTTTCTTATTTATAAAAAGCAATACAATCTACTTAAGAATAAACAAAAAAACTTTGTTCAGTATAATTAGAGTTTAACAATAGGATATTTCATACACATAGTTCTCTTTATTATTTTAAAGAGAGCAAGAACAAAAACTGGTACAGTATATGTGGGGCAAACGACACCTACAAGGTCATAGGTTATTGTAAGTAGAATTATCGATCATCATCTTCTTCAAGAGTTCTCTGAGTACTTTCGTGATTCTTTTCTCAGCGGAATCAGTTAAGTCTTTGTTACTTTTTTCTAACTTCTGTTTCTATCTAATTTGACTTCACTGTTGATAGATTATAGGGAGAATTTCAGTGGGCTTCCGGGAAACCAAAGCATAATTGTTCCTTTGACAAAGATATATGGAAATTCTTGTATATTTTGCTTTGCTTGGATAAAGTTGATAAATTTTACGTGACATACGATACTTAGATAGTTGACTAATTCATCAAAGGCATTAGTTTCTGTACTAATCTTTGTTCTTGCTCTCTTTAAAATAGAATATTTGTTAACAATCTCGTTTAGAACAAATTTATATTCTCACTATATAGTACAACACACTTATCACTGATATTCATTATTCATATTTGATATACTTTGTACATAAATGTTTGACAACAACTTCTAACCTCTCCTTAACTTCTTACTAATCTTCTACACTTCAGCCTTGAACAGAAGACAAAAGGTTAAAAGTATGAAAAGATGCTTCACATCATAGGTTAGTTTACATACAGAAAACAAGGATATTTATGGGTTTATACATGATTTTAATATTTCAAAAGTTTCCTATGGTAATAATTCAGTAATAATTCATCGATTTTCTAGTATTCACTAGGAAATTTCCACTAAACTTTAGTCGGATAAAAACGTTTTTCAAGCATTTCCACAGATTCTGTAAACTTTCTTGAGAATTTTATCTTAACGTTCAATAAATTTTTGTAAATCACAATACATACCTTTAATATTCTTTTTAATACAGTTTTATCACAGACATTTGCTAGTATAGATAGAATACTTTCAAAATGATCCATTAGCGGTTGTAAGCATTCGTTTGCTTCATCTTCTTTACTGACACCACGACCAGTTGTATTATCTGAACCATTCGATGGTCTACACTGTTAGAAAAAAAGTATTATTATTATTATTATTATTATTAGTGTTATTACTATACAGACTCAAAACCAAACGCAGTTAAAAACATTTCAATAGTCATATATGTTATAGCAAAATTAGTCAAAGTTGTGGTTCCCAATCCAACTCAATACCAGATCACTCGATTATAGATAAATGTATCAGTAGGACTAAACATGAAACTGAACAGTAAATCAATAAAAAAAATTTAGATCAAAATACTTGATTAAATGATACACTCGATTCAGTTATCTGATCAACGATCAACAGTCGGATATAATTGAGAATGAATAGTGAACAAATGGAGTCAGAATAGAAAAAAATAAAATAAAAACACTTCCATACATGAAACAGTCTTTTATATTTAATGTAGTTGAATATGTATACATTAGATGATTGACCAATTACTTGATTATTTTCACCTGGCACATCAATAAATTACATAATAATGGAAATAAAATAGTATATCTTAATGAGTATTAGTAATGATATAATATCACTAGTTGAGATCATGAGTCAATTGAAGCTAGACCACAATGGAAAATCCGGAAGTACTGGACAGCCGTTTTGTCCTATTGTGGGATTCTTCAGCAGTGTGTAACCACGATCCCACCTCGCGGGATTCCAACCCAGGACCTACTGGTCTCGCGCGTGAGCGCCTAACCACTAGACCACTGAGCCGACATCCAGTGTTGTTAATGTCTAAATTCAACTAATCCATTAAGTTGAGCGACACATCCACCATTATCTTCAATGTGTTACTATCTCACAATAGACCTGGTTGAACTTTACTAGAGACAGCTTCTTAACAGAACTCCAGGATATACCTCTTGAGGCCAGTCACTAGTGAGCATATGTTGATTAATATCAGAAGGGGTTTTGTGGAGATTTTAGTAATTTCAATAATGATGTAATAGTTGACAATAAGGCATATCACTGATCTGACATTCATTTTTGCACTGATAAATGTATACCAATACATAACTTATTGACGAATTTGAAAGTGGTAAACATGAGAAAATGAAGAAACACGAATCGGGATTTCTGAATAACCCCACGCGACTAAAAACGTCACAAAATTTAGGAATAAAGAATTAACTGCCTAAGTAAATGAGAATGTAAAAGTATGGACAATTGTCTAGCTTTTCTACTGAAATACTTTTATTCTTCATCAAAGTTAATTTCTTAGATGCACCCATATGGTTACAACGCACTCTATAACGTTAGTCTTAAATCTAATCCCCAAGTCCGAACCCTAACTTCAAATCTTATTCTAACCACATCTTGGGTTTTCAAGCAATAAACTATCCCTTTCTATCATTTGCATTCTGATCGACTAAAAATAAAACGTAGTTTCTCGATGTATTTTAAAGAGCTACTAAATGTCGTCCTTAAAGCTACCATTAAAGACTAACATCTTTTGTTCATTTTTAGAGATTATCAACATTGTATAGTAACAGTTTACATCTGTTATTCATTATAGGCTTACGCCAATTGATGAGCCGGAAAATGATCGGTTGAGTCAATTTAATCAGATATAAAAACTGAGCTATTGATTAATCATTTTAAGTAGTATGGATAAAATAACGAAATAAACGGGCGATTTTTTTATACAACACACTCATTGAAGTGTAGGCGTTAATGAACAACATAGAATTCAACACAAATCCCGGCCAACCTAAGGTATCACACTTCAAATCAATTACAGTGAAAGAAATTTGACTAAGACAAAAGAGGAGAGGTAATGGTGGCAATGCACCAAGTAATGCGAAATCAATAACAAAGAATATTTCAAAAGAAAACATGAATAACATTAGATTTAAAAGTAAATGACAATACTTAGCTCAAACTTTTTAAAGAAAATACTGAACAATTATTTTAAGCTATGTTAACCAGTGTTTGAATTCAGGGGATCTGTATTTTACAAAAGAATTTAAGACACTAATCATTAATTTCATGTGGTAATATCGCCTTGCCTATATCTAGTTCACTCCTGGCCTTATTTTGAACTTATTCTTTTCTTAACCAGAGAAAATACAATATGGGGTTTGTGTTCGTTGAGCCCGAATAGTATATTGCTAAGTTTGGCATACTTTTTGTGATCATCCAAAAATATGTTCCTTTCTTTTTCTCTTTCTCTCTTTTTCTCGCTGTTTTTTAACTTCATATTTGTTTTAACTTTGTACCAGGGTAATTTTTCTCTTACCCCTAGATATACTTCATAATGTAAACAATCTTTTGAAGTCTGATCTAAACCTTTAATCATCATGAATTTTCAGTTTCCTAACATCAAATGGATAGACCAAAATACAAATTTTTTTTTCAATGAATCAACTAAATTTTATTAAAATTATTACCATAGAAAATTGTACAAAAAGCCACCGTCGAAATCTTCAACTAGACTAGTCACTAAACTAGCTCTCACATAATTCCAACTAAATCTGTCCAACAAAAATGTGAAATCTAGATAGTAAACAACTTTTAGAAGGACATGCTCAATGGAACATTAAACTTCAATTCCACAAATAGCAATCAAAATAGTAAGAACTCAGTTTCAGTGAGATTTATATATGTATATATGCATGTACAATCAATTAACCACTGAGTAGCGACCGGTGTCATATTTGTCTAGCTCTCTGATGTTGATCGTAGGAGTGGACAAAGATGACATCGATCACTACTTAGTGATCAGTCAATTGTCGTAAACTGAGTGAGTGGCTGCTCGAACAGTTCAAGGGTAACACTTCACTATGTGGGACTTCAGGACGTGGGTTCAAATTCATCAGGAAACATCACTTCCCGGGAATACTATGTTGACCAGTGCCAACTAACGCAAAGCTTAAGACCAAGGTTTCATTAAGACACCACCCACTTCAGGTGGGCGGTATCACAAAACAGTGAATAATTTGTACCAAACAAAATTCTGCCATCTCAACTAACCTTCTGTAAAAGTTTGCCACATTCACGTGCATGTGAACGAACCCCGGGTTCGAACTGATCGGTCAGTTGGATAGCTAATTTATCAACTACTTCATTTAATCGACCTTGAAGAGCACTTAAACGATCTCGAGTGTTGGATTCAAGACTGAAAATTAAAAGAAAAAAAACGTAAATTGCTTGAGATTAAAAAGTTTACTTCTAGTCTTTGTCAGTAGTATTTGTAATATGATAATACTGTCATTGCAATAGAATCAACAGTTAGAAAAGCATTATTTTCATCATCCCGTAACCTTTTAATTATGCTGAAATTATAAACGATGAAGTTGGAAATAAATACAATTTGATTAATTATTCAGAATGAATGTGATCCTACACTCAGTCTATCAGTCATTTAAGCTACCGTATTACTGATGAAGTTAAATTACATAACGTTGTCGTTTATAGTATTTAATGTAGCCAAAATTCCTAATGTCAAGTGATTTACTTTCAAAAGTGTCATATTAGGGCACAACTTTATGAAGAATGATTACAAGATCTAAAAAAGTTCTTTCTGATGGATAGACACAAGTTAAACTCTATCAATAGGCATGAGTACTACCAATATTATAAGTAGACTTTGCTGACAAGTGCCAAATGGCATGAGACCTAAATCCAAGGTTTCTTGTTAACTATCTCCAATCACTTAACATCACAGAAAGGTAGATCTAGACAAATATTTGAAAAGATTAATATTACGAAAACAGGTATTTAGTCTATTCCGTTTTCTTTTTTGATGATATTCCAACTAATATCAACATCCATTGAATACTACTCTCATATTGAGTGTATCAGCATAAACTATCAGTTTAACTGAAACCTAAATAAGTAGGTTCTATTTCATAAATGCTGATTATGAGCTACTCATTTGAAATAAGTTTCAAATTTTAAAGAATAGGCTCTCTAATGATCGCCTTCATTTCTCTATAGTTATACTATCAATACAGGTTAGTAATTAGAATTTCATTTCAAAATAATTAATTATGAAATTAAGGTTCATGATGATTTGGTGTAATTTTAAACCAGCTACCAACAAACTAACTAATCAGAAGGGGTTTTATGGAGATTTTAGTAATTTCAATAATTGAAATCATGAGTCAATTGAAGCTCAGTTGAAATTAGACATTAACACAGTTGAATGCCGGCTCAGTGGTCTAATGGGTAAGCGCTCGTGCATGAGACTGATAGGTCCTGGGTTCGAATCTCGTAGGAGCTGGGATCATGGATGCTCATGACTCATGATTTCAACTATTGAAACTGACTAATAAAAAGTGAAGTGCTTATCGGTTCTCTGTTCCATCCAATTTAATTTCCCTGGAAATAAAAAAAAGAAAAAAATATTTTTCTTTCAAATAAAAAACCGGCCCAGTAATAAAAACATGGATTGATTTATCTACATTTTGTCAGATTATCCAGGTTTATTTTCTATTTTCTCAATTCATAATCCTTTTTTTCAAATGTAGAAAACCATTATCCTTTAACTAATTTATATTTGATAAATAAATAACGATATTAATCACTAGGCAAAAAAATTTTTCGTACAATTATCAGTATAGGGTTTGGGAGATTGTTGAGTTTTGATTGAGTCGATTAATTTTAGACCACCATTGAAAACCTAAAAGCACTAGACGGTCGTTTCATCCTAGTATGGAAATCCTCAGCAGTGCGCACCACGATACCGCACCTGGGGTTTGAACGCAGGACCTTCGATTCTAATGGCCTGGAAGTTAAACGTTCGAGCGCAAGACCTCAGATTCTTGGTCTGATTACTATATGAGGGACCGTAAATGCTCACTGCTAAATTATCTTATACTGGGACAAAGCGAGCATCCAGTGATTTCAGGTTTTTAATGGTGCTCTAGTTTTGACTGGTTCATGGTCTCAATTATACAACTGTCATCAGAAAGTTAATTAAATAGAAAAAATGAAAAACTAACCTTTCACGTGCCATATTCTCATAAACTTTTTCTAGTTGAACACGAAGTTGTTGTGTATTATTCACTAATATACAAGCTACACGTTGATCCGTTTTGTATGTTGAGAAATCAGCTAATACACGATCAGCATAAGCAAGGAGAACTTTTTCAACAGTCTAACAATTTTAAAATAATATAGACGTAAAAGGATAAATAACAAAAAAAAATCAAATGACGTCGGATGAATGAAATCTTGTTGATATAAGTCAGTGATAATCAACATAGAATATGGTACACATTTGAACTACCTTTAATTACCCTACCACATTAGCATGACGAGATTTAATTTACTAGATGAATAATAAATGAATCAAAATAATGCAGTATTAACGGTAATGAGAAGGACTAAACATCGAGAATATATTTCGAAAATGAGAATGAAACGATACAATCTGTATGAACGAATAATGGAAATCAATATCTAGGGTAGAATAGTGAGAGAGTGCGTTTAGAACATCGTGATGGACTCTAAAGGGTGTCATATAACGTTTCCACTCATTAATTGTAGTTATCGCAATAGCCTCATCCAGGTAGTTGAAATCTACCATCACGACTTAGACTAACAATTAATGACGCCAAGGACGGATTTAACGTTTTGGTTTGAAGTTTCTTTGTTTTCTTCGAAAATAATCCTTTATGAGCCAAAATCGGGCATTGATAATAAGCAGTGATCAGGTATGCACCACATACCCAACTACCTTGGTTGATGAAGGTCAACAATCATATCAGATAATTCATAATCTTTTTCAAGTACCTCTACATTCATTATTGACTGTATTACTGTCTAGAATGACAATGATGGCTTCACCATCAAACCTTTTTTTTAATTTCACAGAATATAAAACCTCAAATAAAAGTATCCGCCAGAACTATAAATCCTTATCGTTATTTCCTATTTTCCTTTTATCGTTTTCATAATCACTATCGTTGAACTAACCATATACACACACACACACACTCTCGCTCGCTCTCCCTTTATCTCTGCATACCCAAACTTAATTCACTTCTTCGTCTTCGTTTTCTTCAATAACTCTACATGAATAGAAATTTTCACTTAGTGATTCACTAATCTAACTACTGAACTTATCAATTTGTTAATTAGTTGATTTTTAATAAATCACTTTGTTCTACCATGAATTATGTTGTCATTTCTATTCTTTATTCAATCACAAACCATAGAAATGTATCAATCAATTCATTTGTTATTAAATAATTAAATACATGAAACAATACGTCAAATGAAGAAGTGTTTTTTGTTGTTGTTATTGTTTTCATTCTTCTAGATGAAGTGTTCTCTTGGTTGAATGTGGTAAAAACAAAAGAATATAGAAAGCTTAATCAAAGACTGTTTATAATTTGGCATATTAACCATTGTACATTCCGACTATATAGCTGAATTATGTGATAATATTAGATGTGAAGTATTGTGAATAACCAAAAACTCTCTATCGGTGATATGAGCAACAAGATCATGAGTTTGTAGTTCTAATGAATCATAGAAAAAGTAAGAAAAAACAGTTGTAAGGTGATTTGATGTAATCGATAGGACCTTGAAGATGGACCTAGCTTTCTTATCATTATAGGTATCCGTTAACAGAGCGCATTGCTCGAATCCACTAGAGAGCATAGTGTAAGCGATATCGAGCCATTCAGACTTCTAGCGGCATTGAAACTTAGGTAGTAGCAATAGATAAGCATTAAAAGACTAGACCATCATGACATTAACCAATACTTCACGATCAGTAAATTGTAGATATTTCAATCTTGACAGTAGTCACTTGTAATCTGAATAGCTCAGTGGTAACGTCACAAAATACAAGACTGGGGAACAGAAATTTAAGTTGACTCGAGGAGCATGATTTTATTCAAGATTACAGGCACACCCTGGTGACACCCAAGTCAGGCAGGATTTTTAGACAATCAATTTTAATCACCTAACCTCTTAACATAGTTGACACGATATCGAGTCACTTAGACTAATAGCCACATTGTAACTTGATAGAAAACACTAGCGAAATAGGACACTAGTCAGTAGTCAGTGATTAATAATTTGAAGATAAAACTAGTTGTCTTGTACTTTTTGAACTTCAACTATTTTCGACTTCATGTTCGTTTGTGTGATGAACATTCTGTTGAAAGATCAAACTTAACTATTTAATTAACTTAACTAATCAAATATAGATTTTGAGTGATTAATTGTATAAGAATAAAGACTTATGTAAATCTTAATGGTGTTCAAATCAGAATCCAAACTTTCTTTAATTAGTTCACCTAAATTAACCAGGTCTGTTGTGAGATAGGAACTCACTGAAGACAATGTTGTACGGTAGCGCAACTTTGTGGATTGGTTGAAGTTAGACATTAACCCCGTTGGATGCCGGCTCAGTGGTCTAATGGTTAAGTGCTCGCGCGCGAAGCCAGTAGGTCCTGGGTTCGGGCCCCGGGTGGTGCGGGGTCGTGGATGCGCGCTGCTGAGGAGTCCCAGACTAGGACGAAACGGCCGTCCAGTGCTTCCAGGTTTTCAATGGTGGTCTAGCTTCAACTGACTCATGAGTTCAATCTGTGAAAATTTCTAAAAATCTCCACAAAACACATTCTGATAACATTATCATAATTGTTATTTAGTTTCCATACAAACAATCCATTCAATTTTCAGTGTATTTATTTACTTAAAACTGACTTCACATTTATTCATCGTTAGCACTAAATAATTATACATATATACACATATGGAGAGAGGTATTCTGTTCAATTAACATGTATTAATTTCCCTCTGTTGATCAGATAATATATGGTGATTAACTGATTGGCTAGTGACTCCTTTCTCTCACTTCTTCATATCCACGCAATGACAACACAGATCTAGCCTATTGAAAACTGGATGTGAAATTGTAATTTTGTATAAATTGTCATGAGTGACAGTTATATAAGAGAAGAATTTCTTTGTATAAAACTTACCTTGTCTATTGTGACGTAATCAGTTGTATACGTTTAAACGGTATAAATTGTGTGCTTGGCTTTAAAATAAGGTTAACCAATTTAGAAATAGTTTAGTAACTAGCTCATTTCAGTACATAATTATTTGATGAAGTTAGCTGTTGAAAAAAATTTTTATTCCCGTAAATTTATTTACAATTACACTCAGTTATTTAATCACTTATGTAGATCCAATAGTTAAGGAATTTACTTACCAGTGAGAATCTATGAAAAAATTGTCCTTCAACTTGTTTATCTGGACATTCAAGTTTACGTATAACATCGAAACATTGATTCAGTTGAGTGAATACATCAACAACAGAATTTGAATAGAGTACATGTTCACTAGAACATTGAAAACCATCTTGTTTGTCACGATCATAAGCATTTCTTAAATAATTTGCAGACACTTCATCATTCTCAGCTAGCCAAATCAATACAAGACCTTCAAACCAACTGCAGTTTATGAAAAGAATAAAAAGTTACAGAATGAAAACTAAATTAACCGAATATCAAAAACTGTAATAAACTCTGTAGTTATGCAGATATAGTTTAAGTAAATATTGTCTAGTCTTATTGTACAAACTAAAAACCAGTGATCACACTAGGTACCAGCTAAAGGAACAAACATAGCACCTTAATTCTACTTTCAGAACATAGTTACTTTTCAAAGATCTTCAAGGATTTCAAAAATAATAAAGGATCAAACACTAAAACACTATGAACAGTTGAAAGGTATTCATTCTCCAAATAACGTTAAGTACAGGAAATTGCATTTCATTTTTATACTGTTAAGTTTGTCACGTTAAACATGTTGCATGATCGAACTTCTAACCAGTTTATAGACCTGCACAAAAATCAACGATCCTTAAACTTTGAAAGATGTTAGAAGGTGGAAAAGCGATAGAAATTTCGCTTCAGGAATTAGATCAGTCAAAAAGATCAAGTCAGAACCAATAATCCTAAGATTATGAAAGCTTCAAGTAAAAACTTGTACTTCATGATTCCCTAAATGTTTAATTAGTCAAACTGATCAAAAACAATTTAACTGTTACTCGATCTTCTAGATTTTATTAGACAGATTTCTTAAACTTCCTGCAGATTTGATCAAGTATAGTTTAAAGAAACAGGTGTAACCATTATCAGGTACAATATTAGTACGATCAATATTCATAGGAAAACAGGAAACTCAGTATTGATTATTGTAATAGATAATGGGTTCAAGTTTAGGGAATACTTAAAAAACATTCATTTGATGGATCTTAATCAGACAAGATAAAACTGTGGATTTTTCGAATAATTAACTCCTTTGTTATTATTAATACGTTACTGCTATTTCATGCAATCATTAGTTTGTAATTAGCCAATACTGAATAATTTTCTGTACAGATAAACCACCAACGTACATCATGATAGAACGACCTAATTCGATATTAAATGTCTATCCTAGTTTCATTTGTACTAAATACAATTGTGGAATGTCACAAAATTCAAGAAGTTTACAGATAAAGATGTTCTTATTCTGAGTTTAAGGAATATGTAGGTCATTCTGAAAAACTAGTTATATATTCGTGTGAGTGTTGTAGTAGAATAAATGAAACGATATTAAGTCCACCTGTTCAATGTGTAAAAACAATTAAAGACATAGCATATATAATCAGCAGAATATAAAATAATCTAATGTTCAACCAATGTCTAAGAAAAAAATGCTCCTGTGCTACAGAAATAGATCATGAGTCTTTACAACCAGAATTTCAACTCATCCAACGGTTTTATTTGTCAATGGTAACAATGTTCATGTCAATCATTATCAAAATATTCTATATTACATACTGAAAATTATTAAAAAAAAACCCAAGATAAATTGAATAATTACTTCGACCAAGTTTATAATGAGCGCTTAAAACCCAGACAAGAATTGAATGGTGCAGTAATGGTTAGTGCACTTGATATGCAACCATTTAGCTAGTTGTCTAAAACCCATTCTACTTACTTCGGTTTTGAGTGAGTGATCAGTATCACTAGCCTTCGAAACGATGTATATATAAATCTAGAGTTAGTAAATGAGTCACATCAATGAAATGTTTAAAGGTCTTAACGCAGGACCATTGAACTAACATCAAACAGGCCAGTTCACCGTTGTTTTTTAAATGATGTAAACAATTGTTAAGTTGATTAACCGTCAAAAGGGATCTCATCTAACTTTGAAAAAGCACACATCGATAGCATTTCTCGTGTCTTTTCATTCTCAATACATAGATTTAACGTTTGATAGAAACAACTTTTCACTTTATTTCAAATTAATGAGTTAAATGATTCATTTTTAGTATAGGAGATTTGTGGGGCTCTTTGAATCCTATAGTCTACATCTAATATATGAAGTAGTCACTCATCAGTAGCACTGATATGGTAAATTGACTGAAGTTAAAATTGTTAACTATTGGATCTTAACTCAGTGGTCTTAGAGTCAAGTGCTCAATGAGAAAAATGATGTTCTCGGATTTGATCTGTATTAGGTTGATGGATAAACACCTCTATACAGTCGAAGACTGAGACTGAAGAACTATTCAATGCTTTAAATGAGATCATGAACCTATCATTTTTTAGATCACCACTGCAAAACCTGGAAGCACTAGACGGCCGTTTTGTTCTAATATGGGACTTCTCAGCAGTGAGCATCCACGATCCCGCATGAGGCAGTCGAACCCTAGATGAGCACTACTGAGAAGTTCAATACTAAAACTAAACGGCCATCCAGTGCTTCCGGGTTTGATCAATTCATGATTCCAATTAAAACTTAACAATCCTCACAACACTACTGTTTTCTGGTTTCTAACGGTCCCTCAACTAAGATCAATCCGTGATGTAAAAAACATTACGTCAATATTAGTCTTTACTTACCGAGGATAATCAGGAACTGAATTTTTAAATCTTGCCAGTGTTGCTATATAAGTATTATAAAACCATTTCACTCGAAAACAAAGATTCATATAATCTGAAGATTTGATTTTATTCATTCCACTTTTTAAGACAACTTTATCTTGTCCAGTTGACTTAGATGAATCACGCAATTTATTCACTTTTGATAAACTATCCAATATATTCTCTTCAGTATTATTGAAATAATATTTAGCTGTAATTGTATGCTGAGCTAATCCATTAGCTAAATCATCCGATAAACATTTCCATATCATCTCAGCTGACATATCGCCTAGATTGATTTCATGTGGAAATCTGATGGACAAAGTGAATAAAAACAAAATGAGATAACATAATTCCTAATATTATTAAAATAAATGGACTTAGAAATTACTCTTTTTCACCGTAAACAAATATATCACTGAAGATTAATCTCTCAACTTCGTCTTAAATCATTTTATAACACTTCAACCTATCGTATACTACAGACTGCATGTTTTTTTAACCAGAATCTGTAGTTGTTTATCTTTCTTTTCTTCAATAATTTATCATCGTGACCTTGTTATTCATCACTGCTCATTGGATTTGATCTCACTGATATACTACATGACTCTTGGGTTTAAGCACTTGGAAATCGTGTAACACAGTGACATGATACATGAAGTAAATCCTGAAAATGTTGTCTTGAGTGACAATAGAAGCTACTCCATCCATTTAGCCCAGAAGACATAACGCCAATAAAATTGTCAGATAATGATAAAAATATTGTAGTGGTCTTTCTGTAGGTTACTATTGCACTACTCTTTATAGTAGTGAATAGAGCTTCCTTAACTGAATGAAGTGTTTGTCAGTTGTATTCCTAATTGAACTGTATTTCTTATGAAATACTATTTCTGTTCATTTCGTTATTAAGTATACCATCCCTCTCTTTTATTTTTCTTTACAATATTATTCCTCCATTTCGTTGGAGTATACTTTTTTACTCCCTTATTGTGTCAGGATTTCTACACTTAAGTAAAGACTTCTCTAGTCTAGGGTAAGTTGTCCTCACATTTACCCAGGACGATTCTTGTATATTTTCCTGTTTCTTTTTCAAGTGAAAGTTAAAAACATTGTTAATACTGATAAAAAGTTACTGAGTTACTTATATGGAGATTTGTGAAATCTCAAGATGGTTTCAATCGAAAACTAACATAATACACCCAGATGTAGTTATCTTAAGTGTATTTTTTCAATATTCCAATGAGAAACCATGACATTTAGAGTCAGTTAAGTTGACAGTGTTAAAGTATCTTGCCAATGACATTGACTAAATTCAAAAATATAGACCGATATATTCCAACTCCACAGATTAATCATACCGTGTAAGCTGAAAGATCTAAAGGTTGTGTATTCGATCCTATATCAGTGGGTATAACTCTCTCTATCTCATTGTTATTCAACTCGAAATTAAAGGAGAAAAACTTCTGTAATCATTCAACTTGTAAACTATTATTAAATAACACAATAGATCTACACTGTAGATCATTTTAAAATGTTATGCGGAATATTAATAAGTCAAATTTATCAGCGCCCAATTTAATTTTCCTTTTAAAAAAATTAACTCTTCAAATTTACTGATTTAATACTGGCGCATAATGTTTTCGATCATCTTCCAGAACTGAAACAACCAATGTGATAAGACGATGCCAATAGGTCGGCGATCGCATACCATCCATTTGATCTAATTCCCCAATTAACGATTGTCCAGCTCCACTATTCATATTATCAGATACAAATTCAGTATTCCCAGATTCTGTATTGGTTGCCTTTATTTAATATAAAATAAAAGAAAATAATCTTGTGGACTAATGACTATAAACAAATCTAGTAAAACTCGTCTATTATATGGTAGATGTGAAATCAAATTGAGAATGTCAGTTATATCATAAATTAGGCTCATTAAGAATACCTAACTATTGTGTTATCTGATACAAATCAGCATAACACACATAAAAAATCTTGGAAAAGCAGATGTTGTGTATTTGAACCGAACAAAAGTTATTCAGTGTTACTGTGTGAGAGACGGCATCACTATGCAATTCAGTTTGAACGGAGTAGATCTGATGCTCCACATAGTTGATTTCTGACAACCTAACATATTTTTGATCGAGATTTCATGTCATTTGGACTAGTAGCCAGTTAACGTAGTGTCCTTGGTAGAATTGAGTGACACCTAATGACAAGACGAACATGAAATTGCTAACTACTAGAGATTACTATGAATCAGTGTAAATGATTTTTTTATTTCTGGTAATCGGTCCTAGTCTAGTAAAAAATTATCATCTGAACGCTTAATTTAAAGGCTGAATTACTATATACAAACTTCAGGTTCTTCAAATCGTCTCTAATAATCACATTAGCATCACACCTGTTGAACAAGTCAGTGGTAGCCTAGATTCAGTTGTTCAGTGATGTTTGAAACCAAGTTTACTGGGTTCGAATTCCCATGTTAACATCAATACTAGTGTGCATGTACGTTCAGTTGATGAGTCTCAATATGAATGAAACGTACATTTTGGATGCTACTACTAGACACAATCCACTTACTTTATGTCATTTTAGAGTTAATCAATAACTCACCGGTTTTATTTGCAAGTTAGTATTTGACTTACTCAATGATAGATAAATAACTAGATGATATTTCTAAAACCTTTTTCTCAAGAAAAAAGAATAATCAATAAACATTTACCATGGTAACAGTTAAACTCTATTTTACTTCCACATATCATATAAAAAGGAGAATTAACAGGATACAGAGAACGAAGAAAAGAAACATTTTGTCGTTTACTGTAGTACAGGGTATGATTATTATTATTATTATTAATATTATTATTGTTATTATGACTATCATTACAGTGAAACAAATTGTATTCAGTATTGACAAGGACAATCGCCAGACCACATAATTATTAGTTATAATATTGTTTTCTCATTGCTATTTTGTTCCAGGAGTATGTTAATAAAAAAATATTGTTAATTATAATTGTAGTTATACCTGGATATCTTTCATCATAATAAAACATTTAAACTAAATGGTTCTTTCGCTGAAATGAATGTTTTATAAAGAGTGGGTGTTCAGAAACATCTCAGCATGTTAGTCATTTGTAGTTTATCGGGAGGAAGAGGGATTGTATGGTGTACATAGCTTCCTGAGTGTTGGCATTAATCATAGGGAGAATTGATGTACACTTCACTGTTTTGGTTTAGAAGTAATCGAATAGTTTCCTTTAGGTACGCTTTTACTAAGATAATTAAGAGGAATTAAACACAATTTAAGAGTTTCCTAGTGATTAGTGTCCATCATTAAAACGATAAAGTGAATCCAGCCGTAAAATTACTCTATTTATTTGAACAACTTCACTATACCGCTAATAACGCACTTAGGATTCGACCGCACTACCGGTTTAAATTAAACTGTCTGAATATTATTTACAGTACTACAATTGACTTGTTCAGACCTATTTTTGATTGACGGCACCTAATATTCTTGCTTTGTTCCTTTGTATTATTTAAACTTAATTTGCTTATTTATTCTCTGAAGAAGTGGCTTCCACTGAATAACGAACCGTCAGAAAACCTAATTTCCCTACTCATTGGGATATAACAAACATTTTTTTTATTTAGATCAATCTACCTAATGCTCAATTTATTTGAAATCATCATGTCAAACCTTGATAATGATACCTACAAAGTACCACAATTGCTGAAAGTCAAAGTTAATTTTCATGACCATTATTGGATAACTTATCAACACCGGTTTAGTGCAGTACATATTTCTATATGCTATTGAATATTAACCAATTAATTAATATAATTAATTAAATAAACTAACTAATTATTTGCTTACCTGTAAACTTTTCCCATATAAGTCATGTACATTTTCACAAAGGCACTGATAGGTTGCATGAATACAAGCTTCAATACATTCACGTAATATTTGACCTGTTCTTGGAGGTGAACTAAGCTCTTGGACCTATTTTCAAAGTGTAAAGGAGAAATAGAAAAATTATGAAAGAAAAAAAAACAGGAGGATTTGGTAGAAATCAGTCTAAATGTGAAAAAAAATGTCACCGGCAATTTTCTTTTTCTTGTTTTCTAACAACTCTTGGATCATTTAGAATTGAAATTTTACTGAAATTTGTTGGATTTGTTACCTAATATTTTTTTCATCTCGCAGTACTTGTGTTAGGTTCAATACTTTCAGTGAATCTGTTGGTTTGATTGGAATCGAATGTCTGTTCAACACTAAATATAATACTTATTAAACCATGTTTAATTATTGTATCTAGTCAACTTTTGTAACAAACCTGTCCAGTTGAAGAATATTGGCAGCTTCGGACGAGGATTTTCAAGTTGTGTCGTGTTTTCGGAGGCAAATGATTCGGTCATAAAGATTTTGTCAGCATTCTAAACATCGTCATAAGCATATTATCGTTTTGAATATTTTCTACCTCGACCTCATCTCTAATTTCGAAGTTGTTTATCTTTTTTTTATCGTTTGATAGATTGAGTCAATTGCTATATGTCTACTGATTGACGCATGTTCAGTATTGGGCTTCCAAACATTCCCTAGATTCCTATATCTTTCCTTTGTTAGATATTTTGATGTTTTTCTAGTCGAATTCATGTCCATAGTTATATACATGCATTGATATAAATGACTCTATGTCATTCCAATCGATGTTCACTTGGACGTAGACTAATAAGATAGTCATTTCGCCCTGTGTGATGCTGCTCTTAATTACTGCATTTCATTTTGTGGACAGTGTTTGGTTTGTTTTGTCTACCATCTTATTCAGTTGACTTCAATAGTGGTGACTGGCAATATTTAGCAGACCAATAACATAAAATTTCGTAAACGCACTATACTAACCTAAATGGATTGTTGCATCGAGATAAGGGTGTGTGAACTAAAACATCCATCTATATACCAAATATCTTGGTAAAATATGTCATTTATTTAAACGGATTGTAGATTTAAACATATTTAAAAGGAACGAATTAATTATATAATTATGCAATCTGTATTTATTCTTTGAGTAGCACAACTTAAGAGATGTACTTTGACAACCGGATTATGAGTGGATTAAGGGTAAAGAGATTAGACAATCTAAAATGTGAAATTAACAATGCACTGGCTTGTACAAAAGCACGAAAGTTTGTTTAGTGTGGGAGCTGTCTTCTAAAATTTTTAATATATTGAAACATTAATGGCTCTTAACCCACAAGTGTACTCAATGAAGATATTGGTCACTAAAGATGAGCATTCAGTTCATCAATACGTCCGACAAAATTTGTATATCTTAATATCCAGTTCTGAATTGTACTACTTAAATTCTATCACTTTCATTGAAACGTTCTTCCATTTATAAAGTTGTAGAATGCTAAAACTCATATCGGTGGGTCCTCTCGTACCCCATTCTACTTAGTTACATGTTTTCTGTTCGAACATGTTGAAGTTATAATCATAGAAATGCTATTAAAGTATAGTTGACTGACTTGCCTTCACAACACTTAGCGAACCAAACTATTCACAAAGGTATTTCATTCTCCCTTGAACAAAATGATTTTCAAATCAAGTTACTTGGCTCAAACCTCTACTGAATGTGTTGTATGTGTGTGTATGTGTGTTAGTGATTCAAACGGAAATTATGTTTGATGCAAACCTTTGATAAACTGACAACTATTATATTGATATTTATTACCGAAAAATATCATATCAAAAGAGATAAAAACGTTAGACTACATCAGTACTATAATTATTATTATTACTACTCTGAATAGATCTGTTGAAACGTGACTCACAGGATTGACAATAATACAGTTAAATTTTTTAGAAAAATACTAACAATTTTGTCCACTAACTGACAAACCTACTTTGAGACGGAAAAATGTAATACTTGTAAGAAGATCTACGGTAGATTTCAAATCAATCAATCTTTCTGGTTGTGATGCAGGGAATACAGTCTAGAAAATGAATAAACGTAAAGAAAGAGAGGGGGAAAAATAAAGATAATAACTTAACCTGTGTAAATGTGGTAACTCTTTGGAACTGTAACTTTATATTAACAAATATTTCAAACACAATCACCATAATAAAAAATGTGTACATGAAAAAAAATTTGATGATTCTATTTGTGGTAGTACAACTAACAAAATATCTGTAAATGAACTACCACTAACAAATTCTTGAATATATATGTACTTGAATGGTTAGTTAAGTGCAGGAGATTAGTATTCAGCCATCAAAGCACCCGGATAATAAGAAATAACTAGATTTCAATCTATTAGTAACCAAAACAAATTACTGCAAACTATAGATATGACTAATAGACAAGTTAACATTTACTCTACACCCAGATATATTCAAAAATCTATCGTAATCATAGGTATTTCATTAAAACACTTGGGTTGTAGGATATCATCCACCTACTATGATCGATTGTTAATTTATTAAACCGTACACAGCTTTCTGTTCAAAAACAGAAATCTTTATCATTGTTGTAATTATCAACACATTATAATCTAATATGACAACTTTCTTATGATCTCATATTTATTCACTGTTTATGTTTGCTGATAGAAAATCTCATATATATATTTGTTGAAAAGGGAACCCTCTTGCGGCTATGTAAATAATTATTTCTATCAACAATAATGATCACGTCGATTAATTTCGTATGTTTGATTACAATAAAGAATTCCGAGAGCGAAATAAAAAGATTGGAGTTAGACACTAACGTTGTTGGATTCCGTGGTAAGGGTCTAGGGGTTAAGCGCTCGCATATGAGGCCTAAGGTCCTGAGTTTAATTCACAGATATGCAGTCATGGTTTTCCGCCGCCGTTGCCTATCATACGAGGACGAAATGGTCACCCGATGCGTCCAGGTTTTCAATGGTAATATAACTAAGACTAGGTAGTTATGTCAAGTCCATGAAAATTCTACAATCTGCCCCCAAACCCTACATTGATTAAAATATAAAAAATATGCAACAAATTCCATTTAATATATGATGTATGTTTCATTAAGTGTGTGCTTGAGTCTTGCTTAGTGTTGACGTTTCCACTAAGAATTGAACCCAGTAAAATTAAATTTCATTTTATTGATGAGTATTGAAAATAAATTTGGAAAAGTATCTTTCAAAAGTGTCATGGATACTGGTTTACATTCTTATCCGCGAACGTTTTTGATTGGCTCTGTGCCTAGAAACTTTTATCCATCTCACAAATGATATTTACCACATGAATTTTATCAAAATCCCCAATCGTCCCCTCTCCTTAAAAAAGCAAATAAAGTGGAACACACTCACTCCACTTTACGAAATTGGCACTGCTTGAAATCTTTGATGATTCATTTCACAATAGGTTGTTCATGTTTCTAACCGAATCATGTGAGTGTGTTATGAGCATGACATGCATAATTAATGAGTGATAAGAAGTTTTAAACATGGAAAATACATTGTGATATTTGCATAGTTGAAAAATATATACCCTGTAAGTTTGAATAGATCCCTCATGGGTTGTTTTTTTTTACAAAAAAACACACCATCATTCTTGATGATATTCCAAAAAAACGATAATCTTTACAGTAAACAAGTCGTTTTCTGACATTTATTATTATTATTTTCAGCTTAATCTAATTGAAGCTAATCCGTATAACACTAATCTATTCAATATTATATCAAGTGTCAGCTAAACTTGAATTGACAATTAGAATATACTGTATGTGTATGTGTCTATGTGCCAGAGCTGTTGTGTCTGAACGCTTTGCAAAACTGAGAAGAAAATTTAAAAATAAAACCGAATTATTTTCACACAGATTCATCTCATCATAATTTGATCCAACAAATCTTGGTTCAATTTCTAAAACAAAGTCTGTTGTTATTATCACCATTATTTATTGAACTACTACAGGATAGTTTAATCTTGTTCGACATTCGTTTATTCCACATGGATGTGCACACACACACACACATATACATACACATACACAATTCTTTAAACAACTAACCAACATTCAACTTGGATACATTTTTAAAAAAACAAAAAAAACTTATTCCTGGATTTTTATTCTGTTTTCATCTTATTATTTGTTTTTTATCCTTTCATTTCCTTTCGAAAACAACAACACGGATACATTATTGATGAGTTGACTATAGGAAAAAAAGTGGATAGGTTTTACAAATTTTTCTATATTTATTTGTATGTGTATTCGTTTACATCTTCGTAATCGTGTCTTAACAAACACATCCGTTGTTCATGTTATCCACTAGTCTAAGTTAGTAATGACAAAATGTTTTGTAAAAGTGCTGTCGTGTATGCTACTTATATTGACAGACACAAGTAGTATGTAATATCAATTGGAAGTGGAAAACCTGATAGTAGAAGGTTAAGAAGATCGATTTGAACAAAATAGAAGGTAAAATAGGAAGAAATTATCAAGTGGAATAATCATGTGGAATGTGAAGGACAAAATGATGGAAACTTGTAATGTATAGTTCTCATATTTTACCAAGATATTCTGTAATTTCGTATTTATATACACTTGGTCGTCCCCACCTATGTTTTTATTCATTACAGGGCTAATAAACTAAATAATGTTTTACTGATAAAGAGAAGAAAAATGAAAAAAAGTACAATTTGTTAAAATTATAGAAAGTAATGGTAGAATGATTTAAAACTATCAGACTTTTTGATGTACTGGTGTAAAAGAAAATCTTGAAAAACAAATTGTATGGTTTGTATCTAGCAGTGAAATTCACGATGAATACTACGTCTTATTTGGAACTAGTCAAACAGTTGGATTTGCATGCTAGTTTTGATGTTTACCGTAAGATTCGAACCCAATATCTTTCATTTCAAACACCAACTCGTTTCCCTAATGAGTCTTAATATGAAGATCAACGTTAGGATGTAGGTAAATCCCAAATCGGACAAAATGTTCATACTGTATTCCACAGCTGATCACAATCCATCTATTCCGAATACACGTGATAATGTCGAAATAATCAGTACATAATTTACATATACACTAATAAAGACTAATGAAGATGCAGTCCTGAATACTAACAATGGAACAATCCAAACTATTATTAATAATGGTTATTAACAATCATCCAAATTAAATTTGCATGAAATGCCCGTGAACAACCATGTTATATCAAAAAATAAAAATAGAATAATTTACGATGGATTCAATTTATCAAAGTATAGTACAAATCAGTAGTCAAATATCGATTGTGTAAGTAACATTCAGCTGATAGGTAGATTAATTATGACTTAAGTAAATTTAACTAGTTGGAGTTATTAATGTCATAATGAACTGTAAGCTGTCATCAACCAAAGAAACTGAGACCAAAAACAGTTCGATTCGATTTTATTCGCTCAAAGAATATCAACAGATGATTTAACCAATCAGAAATACATTGAATAACAAAACATCATAAACCATTGTTGACTAAAAAGATTAACCTTCTTCAAGGTTTACCTCAAAACAGTAGCATAAATAATCATTCAATAAATATTATGATCGAATAACTGATTGATATAACATTGGATAAAGTAAAGATGCATCACAAATTATACGAGTTAAATTGCTTCTGATATTATAAGAAATGATAGATGGTGGCTAACAGTTGAATCCACGACGCGCGTTTCATCCTAGTTGAGGCTCGCCAGTTGGATACAACTGCATCTCAGAGCTGACGTTCACCCCGGCACTCGAACCCAGTACCGTTCGCCTGTAACGTCACCACGTTATCGACTTAGCGAACAAGTCCTGATAAGAGATACATCAAGCTGACAATTCCCAAATGGGACGAAACACGTGCCCTGGATTCCACTATTGAACACCATCCATCTTTGCTTGAGATATTTATGACTTAAGGCAATGCTAAGGCATCAATGGGAAGATTCAAATAAACAATACAAAGTGAATAGCATCTGATATTCTTTTGACTTGAAAGTTGAAAATCACTGATCTTCACTGAGACAACTAAGATATAAATTTACATAGATTGATAAATTAGTAACTCAGTTCACTAATGAGGCTATAAAATGTTATGGAATGAGGTTGTTAGGATATTGGTTACTTTTGAGTAACCAACATCTAACACAATGAGCAGTGTAGTCTGATATAAAAGTGACTTGGGAAAAAGACAGAGGCCATTTCACGAAATCACAACCTTTTGATCTGAGCCACGTCATGAATTTTCGGTTTCTAGGTTAGAGCCCACTGAATAGTTATAATCATTTGGTGAGAACACTTAGAAATATGGAAACAATTCAGTCATATTCACTCAACTGTAATTATTTTCTGTCTTCCTTTACACCTTTTATCGAATAGCATTCATGACTTTCCAATAATCGATCACATCTATTCCTTCAAGAAGGTATTATTTCATCAATAGGTTTCTTGTATAATACCAGCCATCTTGTTGAATTCCTCTCGTTCAGCTGATGTGAAGTGCAACAACGTGGAGTGATGCATGTAAACATCAGATTCGACGTTGATAATGATCAGTGACAGATTAACTTAATTATGGAATTATCAACAGAAGAAAAACTGTTTAAATCCTATGTGGATTAGGGATAATAACATGCTTTCTGAATTACAGTCTCACATCGTCTATATGGAATCGATGCGATCTTACAACCAGATAGTTTTGGTAAGAAATCCATGGTTCTGTAAAAGTAAGCTGTCACTAAAATTGCTGCGTGAGTTATAATGTCAAACAAATCAGAAACCATCATATACGTTTTATTAAATTATAATGATTAGAAGTCGTTTGAAGGAAGCCGTACGCCTAGGTTTCATGTCATAAAGGTCAGTCAATGTCTAAATGACTCATTGATAAAATCGTAGCCTATAAAGACGGTTGCTAACAGTTTGAATCTACCAGCAAGCATCAGTTCCTCAAGATTCCGAATGAACTTTGCTGATCCGTCCTAACTAGCAAAAGCAGGGTTTTCTGTCGATTACTTCGAATCACTTAATATCTGAATATAGTGCATGTGACGTTAAATGTTTTAAACTGTCAGGCATATCACAACTTCATCAATAGAATTCGATCAATGCTAAAAGACAAGACAAACATGACATCAGGCACTACTCAATAACCAAACAGATTATTCTTTCATGTTGTTGACTTCCTTCTTACAATGCTTGTTTTCTCTCCATGAAATCAAAGCGTAAGCAATACTTCAATGATCATTATGAAAATAATTATCTTTTGTTACTTATACAAAAGTAAACTATATGAATATATGTATATAAGTATGCCTATGAATGGAGTCAATTCATTCATGTTCCATACATTGTACAAATATATTTGCATCATGAAGTACTAATCTATTTGATAACTTACTTATCATTGTATTGTACTATCCAATTAATCTTAATAAACATATATTATATGGGTGAATTTAATTGAAGTTAATTTCAAAATGCAATCGATTACTTAATATGTAATGAGCTAAATTGTAATTATATCTTATATTATTAATGTTATGTTGATACCAATACTACTGACGACATTATTATTACTATTATTATTATTATTATTACCAGTTAAACTTACCTTTGTGGCAAAACTCTTTCACATGAATCGTCGTTATATATATATATATATATATATATATCAGAATGGGTTTTGTGGAGATTTTTAGAAATTTCACTGAGTAAAATCATGAGTAGATTGAAGCTGGATCACCATGGAAAACTTGGAAGCACTGAACGGCCGTTCCGTTCTGGTATGGGACTGTTTTGAGGTCTGTTGTGAGATAGGAACTCACTGGAGACAATAGTGTACGGTGGCGCAACTTCGTGGATTGGTTGAAGTTAGACATTAACACCGCTGGATGCCGGCTCAATGGTCTAGTTGGTTAAGCGCCTGGCCCGAGGCCGATAGGTCCTGGGTTCGAACCTCGCGGGGTGCGGGATCGTGGATGCGCACTGCTGAGGAGTCCCATACTAGGGCGAAACAGCCGTCCAGTGCCTCAAGGTTTTCCATGGTGGTCTAGCTTCAATTGACCCATGATTTCAACCAGTGAAATATATATATAAGTGTCTATATAGATAAGAAGAAGTGAACAGAATTATATCCACAAACACTTACACGATATTTTGATAAATCAATTCTTATGGCGATATATAAATTGTCCAGTAATTTAATGAATTTCTCTCGCTATTAAAAAAATTGTTTTTTTTTTATAATTTACATAAAGAGAGAGAAAAAAAAGAGAGAACATACAGAACAATGTAAACAATAATTAAAGATATGAAATAAATAAGGGTAAATGAAAAATTGTCAATAATACATGCACAACAATTGTACTTTAGAATCAAGCAAGAAGAATAAAAGTCAGTCAGTCAGTCAGTAACAACGTAGAACTTCGTACATACGTACATCAGTTCGAGTTGCCACACCACCTTAGCACAGAGATGCAGTTGTCGATTCAAATCCCGTAGTGGTAGAGGTAATAAGAGTATAAGCAGTAATCGGGAAGATTAGGGTTTGGAGATGTTATTTAAAGAGTATAATCCAGTGAAAGAAATTTGGAAAGAGGAAAAAAGGGACATGAAGAATTCAGAAGATTAGAATTTGGGAGAACACAGAGAGTGGATGCACCTGCGCCATTGCAAACGATTATGAGCCATGTCATTCAGGGTCTCTAACCATCGGTTGCTATCATCTTGCGGTCCCCAACCAGGTAGTCTACACCTACCAACATGACTCAGTTCACTTGTCAGTGACTTCATGGACTTGTGCCATGTTTTGGTTTGGTCGCCCCTAGCTTTCTTCCAACCTACTCCTATACCACTGAACATAGCACGTCGAGGTAGTCGGTCGTTGGGCATACGTAACACGTGTCCCAGCCATCTCAACTGATGAAGTTTCACTACTTCATCAATTGATTTGCCATCCTTACCTAGTACCCGTTTCCTAACAACTGTGTTACTTACTCGATGGTCCCATGATATATGAGCAATGTTTAAGAAAAATAAAAGAAATTAACAAAATATCAGTTAAGTTAGTCGGTCAGTTAATCATTCTCAACATAGAACCTGGTAGGTATATACATTGGTTTAAGTTGCCACAACACATTAATACGGTGAAGTGAAATTATTAGAACAAATACCAGAGTAGTAGAGATAATAATAATATCAATGATAGTAGAAAAGGTTGAGCGTCGAAGATACAATTTGGGAAGAAAATATAAATTGATGAGATAAAAAATTTGGTAGAATTCAGAAGCTCAGGATTTAGGAGAAAACAAAGAGCAAATGAACCTGTTTCACTGTAAACGATTTCAAGCTGCCATTCAAACTGTCTGACTGGTGGTTACGATAATACCAAGAACCCTACCAGGTAGTTTACACCTAACTACATAGCTCGGTTCAAATGTCCGTGTCTTAGTAGATAGGCTGCACGTGTTAGCTTCATCACTCTTAGCTTTCTTCTAACCTACTCCTACCCCAGACAACACCGTCTTGTAGATAGATGATGGTTGAGCATACGTAACATATGCTCCAATCACCTCAGTTGATGAAGATTTGCTACATCATCAATCGACTTCCCATTCTTGCTTGGCACGCCATTCCTAACCCAACTACTGCTTACGCAGTGCTCTCAAAATACTCAGAAACACTTCGAAAACACGTGTGATAGAATTCTAACAACATACATATATCCTCCATCTTTAGACTAGTACTTTAGAGGTAGACGGATAACTCGCCCATGCTACAACTGACGGAAGTCATGCCGGCGTTTCGTCAGACACTAGGCCATTGGGACTGAGAGACTCCCAAGACATGTAAAGTGGCTGGTATGGTCAACTACTTCACTGCCTATCATTAATTCAGGCACTTCAATTAAATCACAGCTTCATTTATCAATATTGATAAAATAGTGATATAATGTCAAATTCAGAAATTCCATATAAGCACAACGATATATCCAATAAAATAATACTCGTTATAATGAATTTTCACATCAGGTTCTACAACTGTAGGTCGAAATTCATTATCAGTGCAATAGTGTCTCAGTGATTTCGGTGTTTTCAGTTGCAAACCCCACTCCACCTACTTTACAACAGTAATCGGTTAAAAATACCAACCCTCGCACAAAGAGTGTAGCTCCAAGCTGAGTAAACGAATCCGTAGCTGACAAATGAGTTGTGAGAAATTATTTACCCGGTAGGACAGTAAATTTTAAGTCAAAATCCTCTGTGAATAATTTCTCATTTTTACATTACTTCTACTTATTAATTCCTTTCTAATATTTTTTTCAAAACTTCATTTGACTTCAAGTTGGATTCAAACATACACAGGATGTAAATTATTTTCATATTTACAAACGACTATGAATTGGGATATTTTAATGTTTAAATATTTAACGTTTGGCATTCCCAATTGACCTTGATTAAATAACTACTTAAAAGTTAGTAGCACCGATAAGCTATTTTGTCCCAGTATGAAACTCTTCAGTAGTGAGCACATGCAGTTTCAGCAGGGAATAAACTCAGGAACTTTAGGTTTAAAGCTATCCGTCATTCTTTCGAACTCCTTTGTTTGCATCTAACAGAATACATTTCGAATAATGTGATAGCCTCACTGTTTTCAATGGCTTATTCTAGCTAAATGCAGATCTGTAAGGCAAACGGATACAACTACTCATAGACAGTTCTGTTAGAATGAACTGGCAAAACACTTGTCAAATAACTAAAATGCTCATTTTCAAGTAAAGTAGACGCTAGTGATGTTTTGTTCAGAATTACAATGAAATCACAACAGTTAAACCGTTTAGCTCGGAGAGCACGACATCAATAAAATAGGTAAATTCACCCACTAGGACACTGAGTTGAGCATCCATAATATTCACTTTTATAAAGCTTCATTCACTAACATATAGATTACCATAACGCCCTAAACCTATACCAAAGCAAGGGCCACATTCTCACCACTGAAGAACATATGGAACTCAAAACAACTGTCAACCAATATCAAAGTCACCACCTTCAATATAAACTTCAGGACAGCTCTATTGTACAAAGCTGAAACTTCAAGAACTACAATAACCACCATCAAAAATCTACAAGTATTTATAAACAGTTTTCTACGTAAGGTACCTTATATCAGTTGACCGGATATCATCAGCAACAGCCTACTATGAAAGAGGACAAACCAGCCTCCAGTTGAAGAGGAAATTAGAAAAATACTTTGGAAGTGGATAGAACATACATTACAGAAATCATCAAACTGCATCACGAGGCAAGCCCTAACCTTGAATCCTGAAAGGAAACGAGTGAAGAGGAAGGTCAAGGAAGAAACTACGTCGGGAATTGGAAGCAGAAATGAAAAGAATGAACAGCGACTGGAAAGAACTGGGAGGGATTGTCAGGACAGAGTTGGATGGATAGTGTTGGTGGGCGTCCTATACTTCTCCACGAAGGGTAACAGGCGTAAGTAAAAAGCTAGTAAGTTTAAGCCTTTACGGTGAGCTTATATGAAAACCTCTATTTAATAATAAAAAAATCTGATCAATAATAGATAATATGTAGTAAATAACAAATTAACTTACTCCAAAATTACTTGCACTAAATCGTTCACTAGCTGTCTGACTATTTGATGATGTTGTATGTGCATAAAATGCATTTATATTAGCCAAAAGTACAGATAACTGAGCTGGTACACCAGGGCAATTATATTTCGCAGTTAAGCATGCAAAATGCCTGAAAATATTGATAAATAATTCAAGCATATCTTTAAACCAAATAAATAATGAACAACAAATTGTGTCAAGTAACATTAACTATGGAAAATCTAATAATAGTCACCTGAAATTTTCAAGAAAACAGTAATGTGAAACCACAGATTTGATGGAAATACTTAATGGCTTACAACCATTTGAATAAAATTCAGGTGTGGTGTGGGTTGCTTATCTCCACGCAAGTAGTATATAACGGTGGTCAGGCATAGAATGTATTTTAGCAGAAGATCGATAAGGAAAGAACGGAAATGGAACGCAACTGGTATGAAAAGGAATCTACAATGAAATCTGAGACAATCGACTGATATTTACAAAGGAACAGTCAACTTTGAGACGATGGATTGATATTTTACAAATTATCGATTTACTATATGGTTCACTGATTTTATTGAGATGCTCTGTAATTTCTTGTCAATTGTGTTCGATTGTCCCACTCGTCTTCTTGTTCACTACACACGTATCCTTAGAAGCAATATGAAATGTTAGAATTAATATTTTGTGTAAAATATATGTGGTTTATTTGATTTTATAAGTTTTTCTATAGAGGACTTTCAAATGTAGAACAATAACATTAAACAACTTTTCAGTATAACAACTGGTGTTGGATTTTAACCCCAACTAAATTGAAGTAATATCCTATCAGAAACAGTGCTAAAACATTTTTGGATTAACCAGAAGAAATGACAAACCATAGGAGGATTCAACAGTTTTTCCAAGCAACAACAATTAACTATTTTTATTTATTTTATTAATTTAGACCTAGAATTATTGAGGTCCAGTCGATGACAGCCTATGTGATTCTCTCATGTATAAATTATTTTGTACCTAAACACAATTATTTCAGGAATTCATCAATAGTTCATGAATATGTTGACCGCGATGGACAACTGAACCAATATTCCTGACCATGAGGTTGATTTAATCTGCTCCAACACTTTGAAAGCAATTTAATCAGACCAACTATGATGATCTTATCACTTAATTCAGTCACTTTTAACTGATAATCAGTTAATGAAGATCAGAATACATTCATTCACGCAGGATTCTGAACTTGGACCCCTACTTTTTAACTTATATAAGGAATCAGAATAAATTTATTTACTTATTTATTCCCTTAGTTAAGCACATACATTGATATTAAGAGGCATTAGAATATATATGCGCCGCACAAAAGTAACATGAGATTATCAAGAGATAGAGAAAGGAAGGTGAGTATAATGAAAAAGGACAAGAATGAATAAAAACAAGTGAGTGAGAGTTTCAATAATAATATTATAATAAATCGAACATTACATCAGGACCGCCACTAGCTATCCAACAACGCTTCAAGCCACCTCGTTACACTATCTCTAGGACGCCGACCAAATAGCTGCTAAGGTCCGACAGATGCCATTCTTGTTCAGGTTTCTTTCATACAACGGTACAATGTTATAAACTGACCACCTCTCCGCTTTTTTTAATCAGTCTCAGAGTCGGAAAATAACTCATGAAGTGTAAGACACTGGGACAGAATTCACAGGACATATCCAGGTCACTAAGGTCAGTGCTTCAAGATCGTCACAGACATTAAATTATCATCACTGTGTCTGAACACGCGTTGCTAAACTTCCGCATTACTAATATGGTGTTGCCACTGAATGTCAAAATCTTTCGAACTTAACTCAGTCAAATATATATGAAGGTAGGTTTCGGATCATAGGTGTCTTCAAAGTATTACTCGCGTTTCGTGGAATGACTGAGTGGACAATGTTGAAGTTAGGCATAGGGTACCTCCTGAAGGTGACAAACTGGTTGACGAGGTGGTGAATTTTCCTTGGCCAAAGTTGTTGAGACATGTTACGTATGCTTAACCACCGCCTATCTCGATGAGCTACGCCTGCTAGTACAGGAGTAGGTTGGGAGAAATATATAGGTGATCAAGTCAAAACGTGACATCAACCCATAAAGTCACTGAAAGTTGTTCTGAGTCATTTAGATAGGTGCAGACTACATGGTTGAGACCTGCCGATAATCAGTATCAGTGGCTGGAGACTTTGGCTTATATGGCTCACAATCGTTCAGAGAGGAAAGAATTATTCACTCTTTATCCTATTGTCAACCTTGAATTCGAGTATCCTTTCATAAATACCTTCATACATACCTTTCCTCTCCGTCCTTTGAAATACATTTGCAAAGTTCAGTGCCATTTTTATCTACGGAACTATATTATTACGATCTCTTGTTATTGTCACGTTGTCATGCTAATTGAGTATGACAATTTGGGTCACGTACATGCATTTATCGTTTTTTTTAAAAAAATATTTTTCAATGTTCTATCAGTTTAGTAGTCTGTTGTTCGCTGACAGTAATAATTGACACATCATCATGAAAATTATATTTTTCGGTATCATTTAATGAGAATTCTCAAGACTTATTATTTTACAAAAAAATCATCAATAAATGTTTTCTTTCTAATAAAGAAAAATAGTTGAAATCACGAGTCAATTGAAACTAGACCACCACCCGGAAGCACTGGACGGCCGTTTCATTCCAGTATGGGACTCCTCAGCCGTGCGTATTCACGACCCCCACCTCCAGCGGGATCCAAACATAGGATCCATCGGCCCCGCGTACGAGCGCTTAACCACTAGATCACTGAGCCGGCATTCAACGATGTTAATGTTTAACTTCAACTATTGAAATTACTAAAATCTCCACAAAACCCCTTCTAAAAAATCTAGTTAAAATCACTTGAAGAGGGAGAAACTGAGAGGGCGGGAGAGAGAGAGAGAGGAAAGAAAGAGCGAATGAAAGAAAACAAAGAAACCGAAGAGAATAAACAACCTTTTTAAATTAAATCAAACGACCTTTTTGATTCATTCCAATTTTTCAGAAATTATTTATCAAAGTAAATTCAAGACAAAATCAGTCAAAGTGCATATTACAAAATTAATATAACTCCAATTGAGAAACAAAAAATGTTTATCATTCGTGACAGTGATAAGGGGACTAGATGGTTGAAATAAATATGTAACTATGATCAAACGAATGATTGATTGATTAATGAAAGCAAACGTAATGTTGAAAGATTCATTGGATTAGTTTGTTATATAGAACTTGGAAAACCGATTGAATTAAAATTAATGGAAAAGAATAACATAGAATGTTAGTGAAATAGTATGCATACAAACCAAACAATGGTATTCAAAATGTCAGTGATCTTCATTATGAAATTATTAATAAATAGTTGTGTATAATCGTTGAAGTTTTTACATTTTTTATATAAGTCAGTCAGCTACAAGGTAGAACCAGGTAAATATATGCATAGTTTCAAGTTGCCACACCTCATTAGCACAGCAAGATGAACACCGGATTCATAGAAGTAGTTAATTCAATGGCGGTGATATATAAAAGAAAGATTGCATATATGGATATAGTACACGAAGAAAGATTTAGTACGTAGAAAGAAAGATATGAAGCAATTTTAATCTCATAGTTTAGGGGAAGACAAAGAGTGTATACACCTACTCCATTTCGTAAAATAACTTCAGATAAAAAACGTTTAGATCATAAATCTCAGTTTTTGATGCTAGACGGTTGGGTGCAATTGATGTAAATCTGTGAATCTAGGATTTGATGATTGTTAGTACTTGTGTGCAAGGCTTGTGCACAGTTTTGAAAAGACTAATGCTTCCTATTGAATATGAACTTATATCAATGAGTGTTGTTATAGTTAGAAGTATTTACAACCGAATGATTTAGACTTTGCCTAACTATATTCATAAACAAATCAGTAAAATCCAAAGCTTCATGAAAAGTGGCTCTAGATATCTAACACCAAAACATAATGTGTTTAATGTCTAGCCACTTACTCTAGTAATTAAATTATGACTACTGAAAGAAATCGATCAGCAACAAGGATTTGAATTAAGTGACAATGATTATTACTGAATGATCAAAAAATGCAACCAGCTTTCTATGTAGCTAGGTGGTGATGTTTAAAGACTAGTTTGATTTGAAGATGTTTTTTATCACAAACCAAAAGTCAGGTAACTATGTGCAATTGTTGAGATATATTCTGGCACTTAATAACAATAGTCGACCCCGTTCATTGTATATAGGAGCAAACCTACAAACCATGAATCTCTACATAAATAAGATACACTTATTTGCTTGATCTAGAATCAAATAACTCAAGATATAGCACAAACTTTATTCTCTGTCACCTGAAATAGTCATCTTACTACCAACACGATTGAATCCCACTAGAAACAATTTCACGCAATAATCTCAACATCCAATCAATAAACTAGCTGTTTATATATGAACACTATATACTTATACTCTTTGGCTTTAGGCCTGAGTAAACATAAAGACAATACTAGTGATGGTGATAATAATAATAATGGAAATAATATTCTATGTGAGGCCAAAATATCTAGATTAAAAGTAAACATATTAGAATCAAACATTTAATTGGAAGAAATGTTTATGAATTTGTCGACACTTAATTAATTCCTGTCCAATAATTAGTTTATAGTAAAAATAATGTGGACATTAGTAACGATAATAATAATAATAATAATAATAATAATAATAATAATAATAATAATAATAATAATAATGGTAAAATAAGATGAGCTTACGTCATTGCTTGAAATATTGGTTCAATACCATAACGTATAGCAAATTCATCAACGATTTCCTGTCCTATTGGATTGAAATACACTCGCCATGCTTCATTACCCTACGACGATAAGGAAATGTGTGTGTAAGGGAAGAGGGGGGGGAGGAGAGGACACTTGAGATTAGTATGGAACAGAACTATTACTATTACTACTATTCTAAAAATATCGAATAAATGCAGTTCCGTTGTTTACACTCTTAAAATATTTCAGTCCCCTTCTATCATTAACTAATCCATTGAGTTTTGAAAAACTTAATAGTGTATGCGGCGTACAGCCTTAATATTAATTTATTTAAAAGCTATTTTCCAAACAATCATGTTGAAGGCTATTTATTGAATGTCAGTTCCCAAATGATTTTTGTCTGCCTATTTAGATAATGTGTTCATCAGAGTATTATGTCATTCATAGATATCAATGCCAAGATTGAACGTGATGGTTCCAAATAAATTAAGCACTGGGTAGAAAGTTAATGGTTAAATAGTTCCTACCTAAACTTGTAACTTTGCCTGTAGCTCTTCGAGAGTTACTGCCGGTCCCAAACCCAGATAAAGGAAGAGAGTTTAGCATGTAGTCGGCAACCTCATCTCGTAGAAAAAAATCTTGCAAAATAAACGTCAACCAGATTAAACAAATTAAACTATTTAAACTCTGTTCTTCGAATTGAAGCATCCAGGATCATCAAAGCATCATTCAAAACAAAGAAGGAGGGAATTACAGTGAATGTCATCTAATGTTATGCACCCACCGATGATAGAAACGACGACAATAAAGATCAGTTCCATGAGAGGCTTCAATCGGTCATAGCGAAGTGCCCAAGAAAAGATCTCAACATCTTGATGAGAGACCTAAGCGCTAAAGTCTGAGTAGACAACATCAGATATGAAGATATCATGGGACGACGTGGACCGGGAGAGAAAAACGAGAATGGCGAGAGATTTGTGAACCTATGTGCATTCAACAAATTGGTTATAGGCAGCACAAACGTATACACAGAGCTACATGGGTCTCACCGGATCACACCACGGAGAACCATATAGATCATATTTGTATCAATAAGAAATTCAGAAGATGCATGAGGGATATGAGAACCAGGAGAGGAGATCACATTGCTTCATATCACCACCCGGTTGTAGCCGAGACGAAATCGAAGCTAAAAAACACTGGACAACTGGGGGAACAGCATCATAAAGATTCAATACAGCCTTCCTTTGAGATACTAACAAACACAATGAATTCAAAATAATTCTCAACAACAGCTTCCAAGCCTTAAAGGATCTGATGAAAGAAGAAGAAACTACTATGGAGGACAACTGGAAATGGATCATGGAAGTATTAATTTCATTGTGTTAATAAATGCTGGGTTGAAAGAAGCTTCATCATAAGGAACGAATCTCCGTAGAAACGCTGGACAAGATTCAAGAAAGGAAGAACAAAAAGACAGCAATCAACAACAGCCGAACAAGAGACGAGAAAGTCACGGCACAAGCTAAATACACTGAAACAAACAAGCGAGTGAAGAAAAAAATTAGAGCTGACGAGCAGAAATACGTAGAAGAGAGAGTAACAGCAGTGGAAAAAGTTTCAAGAGAAGAAAGTATAAGACAGCTTAGGATACTACGAAGAAACTGACAGGAAAATATAGTAAACTAGAGAGCCGGTGAAGGACAAAAAAAGCAAGTCAATCACCGAGATTAAAGAACAAAGAAATAGATGGGAAGGCCAACGAACACATTACGTCGGGAAATAGAAACCGAAATGAAGAGAATGAATAGAGATCGGAAAGAACTGGAAAGGACTGCCAGGACAGAGTTGGATGGATAGTGTTGGTGAACGGCCTATACTTCTCCACGAGGGGTGTAAGTAAGCCAAACTTGTGTTAATTTTATTTTAGTTACTTACTTACTCTGAAGGAGTGACTTTCATTAAGTTACGAAATATCAGAAATGTAATTTTATACTCATTGGGATATAACAACAAGAATATATTTACTATTATTATGTCAGTTAGATATACTTAGTAATAATAATTCTTGATTAAAATTTTGACATTTGGCTTACAGTAAAATTTAGGACACATGTTTCGTATCATTTCTGTTTTCAGTCTTTAATAGCGAAATAAAAACTCAAACTTTCAACTTATCATAGACATTTCCTCACAGCCGATTCGATAGTTTTTTCTTTCAATACTGTATAAGATAGTATCAGAAAGAACAGGACAACAATTTTCCATCAGTAGATTAATAACTTGTCAATATATGTTACTGATAATAAAGTTAGTAGTAAAGAAGAAATAGATAATGCACATATCGTGGGCGTGAAGCCGATGAAACGGATATGAATTACAGTAACATGATAGATGATTATGCAATTAGATGAAAATAGGCAGCCTTTTTCATCGATGATCCATCCAGGCTATTTTTATCAATTATCACAAAGTGGAAACAACAATGATGGAAACGAAGAAGTGATAGTTAAATCACAGTATTGACTAAAATAGGATTTTAAATAGAGCAAGAACAAAGATTGGTGCAAAATAATACGGATTCATTTTTTAGTTCGTTAGGTTCTCATCAGCTGCTTACAACCTAAAATATTTAAAATTCAACATTATTACAGATATTGATATACTTATACATAAGAGTGTGATTAAGGATGAATACATGTGTATCATGGTGTAGCGAAGATTCCGATAGGGTTAATGAGGTCGTTAAATTTTGTCTGGGAAAAATAGAGTTTGAGAGGGAAAGTTCCAGAACATTGAAATAGTGATTAGAACTCATGAAAATAGATTAATGGTAATAAAGAAAGATATGAATTGAAATCAGTCAGTTATGTATGATGTAATTTATATTTCAGAAAGAGTTGCAATAATGACGTAATAAATAAATAAATAGGAGCAAATGAATAGAAAGAATGGGGGTTATTGTTACCAGGGTAAAGAAAGATTTATTACTATCTCTTTTTGTATACATAGATCTGGTTTTAAACGTTTGATTGCTAACGCTTCAGCGAATTTCAAAAGGTTCGAGTTTGATTGTTTGTTAATCACCTTGAAGGACTTCAGTATATCAACTTATTCGAATCAAACATTTTATGAGCTCAGTAACTCTATCTAAATCTTTGCTACATCATCATACACATGTATTCATCCTTAATCACACTCTTATGTATAAATATGTCAATATCTGTAATAATGTTGAATTTCAAATAATTTAGGTTGTAAGCAGCTGATGAGAACCTAACGAAATAAAATGAATTCATATTATTTTGCACCAATCTTTGTTCTTGCTCTATTTAAGATAATAAAGGGAACTATGTGTATAAAATATAATTGTAGCACGCTGGTTTCACTTTATTTAAAACTCATCGGTTAGATGAGTCTGGTACATCCCGGTGTTGATTTTCACACCGAGACTCAAACCTCTCTGTTAAAACCTCCAACGTATTATTCACTGAGCTATCGACTTCAAATAACCACTAACTTGTGCAGTGAATGCATTTATCCCAATACACACGGATACATTGAATTCCTTAACGTGAACAATGGGTAAAAACAAACCTTTGCAAATTAAAATAAATAATAAATGGTTTTGTAATAACATGTAATCGTTTTTTCCACCTTTTTTTTATCTATCAAGCACTTATTAACAAATGGAAAATAATCAGACTTTACTGAAAATTGATGAATAATAAAAGTATAAACTATCGGATATCGACTCAATGCCCAAAATAGGTACTTTTTAAAACTTCATGTTAGACCAATAGGACGCGAGCTGGATTCCTTATGAGATAGTGAGTTTGAATTAATGAAAAATTACAAATAGAAATGAAACAGTTATCTAGTGAACTCTGTCCGGTAGTATATATCTTAACTACAAATGTCATTTAAAAGTTTTCTGGTTATGAAATAAGTACCAAGAACATGTTGTGAACAAGAAGACGAGTGAGGATAATCGAACACAATTGACAAGAAATTACAGAGCATCTCAATAAAATCTGAGAACCATATAATAAATCGTTAATTTGTAAAATATCAATCCATCGTCTCAAATTTGACTGTTCCTTTGTAAATATCAGTCGATTGTCTCAGATTTCATTGTAGATTCCTTTTCATACCAATTGCGTTCCGTTCACATTCTTTCCTTATCGATCTTCTGCTAAGTTACATTCTATGCCTGACCACCGTTATATACTACTTATGTGAATATAAATAACCCACACCACAAAAAACACATAAAACTACCGTTCTATTCATCAACAATTAATAACATATCCGTCAAAATTAATCGATGAAATGTTGAGATGAATTACACTGTGTTAAACTTATTAGTCATTAAAATATAATTCACTAACACTTACATTATTTTGTGCCTGAGTGATATATGTTTGATCCGGTAAAAAAACTGGTTCATTTTTTTGACATAAATAACAAAATATACTCTGAAATGGAAAAAAAAATACAATGAACATGTGTCCAAGTTGTAACTTTGATATCTAATAGTTTAGTCTACAAACTTTCATTGTCTCTCTAGACAACAGTATCATCGGTTTATATTTCAAAAAGAAGCAAATTATTAGGATTTCTCTATTATAACTGATTAACAACTTGGTCTATTGATCTGAAATTTGATTGATTAATGTCTGTAACTATGTGGCATTTGTTTTTGTGTTTACTTTGACTAGATCACTGTTTTACAATCATCCACTCTATTTTGGTATTGATTCATATGGAGGGTCAGTTTAGATATATCTTTCGACTGACGCGTGACCGAAGTGCCAGGTTTCTGAAGATTTACTGGTCCACTATGTGCACCCTTTACACAATATTTCTACGTCCACATACGTGACTACAAATACTTCTTGTTGAACGTTTGGCTGATCATATCCTCAAGAAAGGAAGTCAAAGCTTCATGATTAAACTATTTGTTCTAGAGAACACAATGTTTTTAATATTGGATAATTGTAAATGGTCAACAAACAGATTATACTTGAGGAGATTAATTTATAATTGATATTCGTCATTGATTGCTAATCATAGTTGAAGTGCTATCGATGACCGAAGAGCGCCGGACAGCTGTTTCATCAGCGAGGTTGTGTATGCTCACTGTTGAGGAGTGCCATACTATGACAGGTTGCAATTGTGGCTTAACCTAGATCGATTCATACTCTCAATGAAGGCACTTTCGTCGTTTAAGATACTGGGAAATGAGATAGAAATATCTCTGCTTGAGATTTTCACTCACAGTCACATAGTTGGAACAATTTCATTCGATAGTTTGCTCAGTTCACGGACAAATCAACACTTCATTTAGACAAATACGGTCTTTTATTGTTAATACTTACACTGCATAATCTAGTATTATGACGATAGTATATTACATTATCACATTTATTCATTGTACATAAGTCCTCACAAAATTAATACTTTCAAAAAATTCATATATACTTATATATACGATTGTACCTGATTGATAATAAAGAGATCCTATCACTAAAATTCGTGTTATTGTTTAAATAAGGATTATCTATTTATAATCAAGGAAAATAAACATTCAGTTACTGTCCCATAACTTGATTTTATCCAAATACAAGTAACCAATTTGACTGGTTGTCACCAATCACCTCAACTTTGATTAATTTATGATTCAATTAATATCTATTGTTAATATGTTTTGTGACAATGATAAATCCAATTTTTCTGGTCATTTTGACATCATTCTGATAACAATCAACTGCTCACTAGTGACTGACTTCAGGAGAACCTCCTGGAGTTCTAGTGAGAAGCCGTCACCAGTGGAGTTCAACCTGGTCTGTTGTGAGATATCAGCTCAGTGAAGACAATGGTGTACGGTAGCGCAACTTCGTGGATTGGTTGAAGTTAGACATTAACACCGTTGGATGCCGGCCGGCTCAGTGGTCTAATGGTTAAGTGCTCGCGCGTGAAGCCAGTAGGTCCTGGGTTCGAGTCCCGCGGGGGCTGGGTCCGTGGACCTGCACTGCTGAGTCCCATACTAGAACGAAACGGCCGTCCAGTGCTTCCAGGTTTTCAATGGTGGTCTAGCTTCAACTGACTCATGATTTCAACCTGTGAAATCATTAGATTTATCGAAATTGCCGTCAACCTTTCATTCATATGAGAACAGCTATCAATCACCTATAAATATGTCAATGAGCATTTATCGATTGTTTCCACCATAAACATTAAGAAAACTCATAATTCCCATCATATCATTCAATAGTTCAAATGAGTTTATTGTTGAAAGTGTTATCTTAATGAAAAAACGAGAGAGGGAGTAAATGTTTTCAATTCTCAAGTTTACTATTTCGTAGAAATATGTAATTTACAGTTGTTTTTTTAGACGAACACAATTGCTTGAGTAAATGTAATTCCCATGATAAAGCTAATTTACTCTGTATAATTACGATAATTAGTTTCTTCTGTAACCAACAAATATTCAATTGTTGAATCAACATACAAACATATTAAACGAAGTAAATGAAGTAAACTAGAAAACTGTCCAGATAAATACTTGAAATAATATTTCAATAATTCAGTAAGCTTTTGATGGAAAAAAGAACTTAACAACATCAATCAGTATCCGCCCAGTCCAACTCACTCCACCCCCTCAAACCGGTAATATTATTAACCCTTAGTAAAATTGAATCATAAGTTTAATAAATGCTGGCCTATTATGGAAAAGTAATATTTTATATTGTTGTCTACAATTCATTTATCAGACAATCAGTCATATACAGTTTATGATTTGTCAGGTATGTTCATCAGTCCATGTTGACATGATTGCATGACCTGAACAAAATAAAACAATCAAGACAAATGATGGAGTATTAGAATTATTAACTGTATCAGTTTGAATGACATTAACTTTCTTCCAACCTACCCCTACGTTGGATACCATCTTGCGATCAGGTAGTTGGAGAATAGGTATATGTAACTAACTCAGTCGATGAAAAATTTCCATATTTGTCAACTTATATGTCATATTTACCTAGAGCTCTGTGTCCATTCTAAACATTGTTCATATCACCATACCTTTGTAGACAAAAGTAATTTCACTGTAGTCTGTAATTTGTTACAAGCAAAAAGTGATTTTCTAAGCGACATTTTTTCTGGAAAGTGTACAAACTTAACTTGAGTAGTAAGGAATGTGGCAATCTAATGACTATACACCAGTTACTGAATTTGATGAATCTTAGAACTGATTAACTACAAGTGGAATACTATAAAATAATAAAATATAGAATCAAGGTTGCCTATAATCAACTACTGAATACATTTCAAGGTCTACCGAGAAACACTCACAGTCTAGCAGTAATAAATTTGCTAAGATATTGAGTAAGATAGAACCTCTCATAGGAAAACCAAGTCAATTGGTTATTAGTTAAATTTTAACGATTCCTATTCAAAAACGTTTCCATCTTGTTATCGTAGTTTGAAGGATAGTGTATTCGAGTTTCACGCGTAAGATGCTGGGTAAAAGTCTGAATAATGTCATCAAAATATATCGAACTGACGAGTCCCTAATGGAGTAAAAAACAGGTTTTGGATTCCATTGATAGTCACTATAAAACCTTATCCTTTAATACTTTCTTCCATCATAAGTATCTCAAATCATATACACACTTCAGAGACTCATATACACACATAAACATACATGCCTAAGTTGGTCATTTTCGGTGTTACATTATTTAGAATACATCTTTTTTAAGTAAATTTTTACTAGTTGATTACAGCTAACAGATAAGCTAAGACGCATGTATAACATCTTGGTCGAGAATTTCTCTCTCCCCAGTTATTTATCTGTCTATCGATCTCCTTTTCGTTATGCGAAACGGATGTCTACTTTGAAGGTGTAATGAAATTTTCAAAAAACGTAAAGTCAGGCAAATTTTGACTGACATGCCATGAAAGTACAAAAAATGGACAGTCAGCAATTTATTATTAAACGATAAGCAATAAATATTTATGATAGATAATTTAATGAAATCAATATCAATGTTTTTATGGTTCAAATCATTGGACCGATTTTAGTTTGACGAATATTAAGAACCAGAAAGCATTGAATAATTGTTTTAATCTTAGTACGTGACTTAACAGTAGTGCTCATACTCGACCTCTTCACAGAGGATCAAACCCATGACTTTCAGATCTCATTGTGAGCGCCTAATATTTTGATCATTGGGTTGTCATCCAGTGGTTTACGTATGTAATTCTGATATCACTGATAAACAAGGTCTTTTTCATATTAGACATATTCAAACTCTATCGGTCATAGCTTATAACTAGGATTCTTACAATCATCACTCGAAATTCGTCACTTCATTCACTTTTCACATTTTACTAGTTGACATTTTTCGTCCAGTCTGAGTAAGTAGAAATTAATCTTAACGCTATATCAATTCATTTGCAAATGATGAACATTGATCTTTAGTGCTGTTAGAGGTATGAGGGCGATTACTACTTCCTGGCTGCCCACACCGTGGAAGGGTTGTTCTAGAGGTACCTGAAAAGGAAACTGGGTTAGAGGTGGTCTTAGTGACCCGAGAGCATGAATGCAGTGCCCAAAGGAACAACTGCTTGAGGTCGGTCACACACGACCTTTTTGTGAGTAATTTTCGTGTTATCTCCGTACTTGTTGGGACCTTATCGCCGGAGACGGATATTCATGGGACAAGGCGAGCTGTGCATTTTCACGGTCGACCTTTTCTATCCTCATCCTTAGTTTGTAAGAAGTCAGCATTTTTGTTATGCTGATGATGCTGAACACACAAAACCAACTGTATCATCACGTTTATTTTAATGTCCATATTTAATAGAACAATGAAACTAGCAACTATACTAGGTGATAATGATAAATGCCCTTTCTTGTATGTTGCAATTTTCTAGAAAGAGAAAAAAGTAATTTCGAGTTTAGCGATTGATTGAATGCTGATTTTAATAATCCCCCCATCAAAATATCAAAAGATTTTTTGAATAAACTTTCAATTTCACACTGTAAATCCGCAACCCACCACGAAGGATTGGGAGCAAGATCTTTAGCTCTGGACACTGAAGAGTCTCATGATAGGAGGAAACAGGTGCACAATGCTTCCTGGTTTACGATGTTTGTCTATCTAGATAAATCTCTTTATCTATATTACACTCTGATTAAAAAAGAAAATGGATTTAAAGTTTATGGAATTTTGTAGAAAATATAAGTATTCTTCACTTCAATTTATCAAAATAAGGAAGAAAGTTTATAGCTCAGGTGAATTCTTCTTCATGATGTAATATTCTCTGAGCTAAAAGAGCAGTAAAAACTCGATAATCAAATTGTCTAGAACACAAAACATAACATCACTGAAAACTCGATTTATTTTTCCAAAAGCCTCATACATCTATACAAACAAACGAAAATAATACTTACACCGTGTAATGCTGTATACTGTACATGAAATGAAGCCATTTGTTCTTCACCTTTTATTTCAACAGAAATCAATAAACGAATAGCTCCAGATACTGCTGATTTATCTGTCCGTTTCTCTGAAGTTTTGTTTTGAGAATAAAAGAATAAAATATGAACAACATTAGTATTATTGTTAGAAAGGCAATGAATTATCTCATTGTTCATAATCAAGATTAAATAATGATCAATTTCAATTGAACGGATTATCTCGATACTACCATTTTGTCACATATTTTATGTAGAATAGACAAACTATAGTTAACAGTGGAATCTAAGGCACGTGCTTCATCCTATTTAAAACTTGTCACCTGGACTACTTGCATCTTATAGTTGATATTCAATCAGGAATTCGAATCCAGTACCTTTCGTCTCACAATTTTAATCAATTATCAAAATAACTATTAATTTGATCGGCGAATATGATGCGTACATTGTTATTAAACGGGGTTTGAAGTATCCTGGTTATTCAAACTCTTTCTAAGATTCTTAATTTATAACATTTAAAGTATCTAGTCGTCAGAATTATTTTAACAATTAAAAACTGAATTTTATTTAAAAAATCAATTTGTTTTACATAACAATAGAATTGTATTTTGTTCATTTCTGTTTGTCCATAGATACCAGTTTATAGAAGCTTTGTTTTTAGTTCTAATCGAAATCTTAAGGAAGTAACAAATCATAGCATCTTTAAAGCCTTGATTAATAGATATTCAGCATAATGTACGTCCAAAATCAACTAATTAATGATTAGTATCAGAAGAAGCTTTGTGCATATAATAGTAATTTCAATGGTTGAGATAATCAGTCAGTTGAACCTAGACAACCACAGATAGCCTGGAGGCACTGGACGTCCCACTGTGGGACTCCTCGGCAGTGCGCATCGACGATCCCGCTTTGCAAGATTCCAACCCAGGACCTATCGGCCTCGCGCATGAATGCTTAACCACTAGACCACTGAACCGGCATTCAACGATGTTAATGTCTAACTTCAAATAATCCATGAAATTGAGTGACACATCCATCATTGTCTTCAGTGAGTTACTGTCTCACAACTGACCCGGTTGAACTCCACTGGTCACTACTTCTCACTGGAACTCCGGGATATACCTCTTGAAGCCTGTCGCTAGTGAGCACATGGTGATTAGTATCAGAAGGGTTTTTGTGGACGAAACGGCCGTCCAGTGCTTCCAGGTTTTCCATCGTGGTTCGAGGTAACTATCGGTGTTAGACAAGGCTGGACTACTAGAATGCAGCTGGACGATCTAGACTTCGCAGATGATCTGGCTCTTCTACCGTAAACGCAACAACAAATGCAGGAGAAGACGATCAGTGTAGTAGCAGCCTCAGCAGCAGTAGGTCTCAACATACACAAAGGAAAAGCAAGATTATCCGATACAACACAGTATACACCAATCCAATCACAATTGACGGAGAAGATTTGGAAGATGTATAATCCTTTTCATATCTGGGCAGCATCATTGATGAACGTGATGGATCTGATGCAGATGCGAAAGCAAGGGCAGTATATTTACAACTGAAGAACATCTGGAACTCAAAACAACTGTCAACCATCACCAAGGCAAGAGTTTTTAATACAAATATCAAAACAGTTCTACTATGTGGGGCGGAAAGCTGGAGAACTACGAAAGCCATCATTCAGAAAATAAAGCTGTCTACGCAAAATACGTCGGACCCGTTAGCCAGACACTATCAACAACAACTATTGTGAGAGAGAACAAACCAGATTCCAGCCGAGGAGAAAATCAGAAAGAAGTGCTAGAAGTGGATATAACACACATTGAGGAAAGCATCCAACTGCATCACAAGGCAATCCCTCACACACAATCCTCAAGGCGAAGGGAAAAGAGGAACACCAAAGAACATAGTTCGGCGAGAAATGGAGACAGACATGAGAAAAATGAACAAGAATTGGATAGAACTGGAAAGGAAGGCTCTGGATAGAGTGAGTTGGAGTATGCTGGTCGGTGGCCTATGCTCCATTGGGAATAACAGGCGTAAGTAAGTAAGTAAGTAATGTTTAAACTTCTGAGTGAATTAAAACCGTATTGTTCTCTAAGAAAAAATAATGATCTCGGAGTGGTTTCAGTGTGTTGAATACACTTCTTTTCTGAATCAATGAATACATATTCATAAGATCAAGTTGACAAGAGAATTTAATTCTTGAACATTTTCTTTTCAATATGTTTTGTTTAGCATAGTGAAGAATAGCTGAAAATTCCTGAAACGATAAAATTTATTCACTTGATGATAATTTGTGCACTGGGTTATAACTTCGATTAACAGATTATGAATAGAACAATTATTTTCCATTTTAGTTCATTCACTGTATGCTATATCCTATATGAAATAAATGAATATTCAGATAGAAGTAATTACCACAATCACCCTACCTTAACACTTTTATTACATAACTGGCTCATTAATGACTGGTTTAAGGGTAAATTTCAGAAATCCCAATAAGAAATTGTTTCTAATTGAGTTAAATTATATCACGTATAAGGAAGTTAGTTACTAAGCAATATTTATTTGATAATTGTTATACTATATAACGAATCGACACAGAGATAAGTGAACGATAGTTAATTACTTTAAGTGTTATATGTAGATGAATTATTGAAATGTCTCAATATTTGATTATCACATTCAACATCATCATAATCATTATTGTGCTTATATACAGACAAGATGAAATTATTTCAATTCACTTAAACCACTTACCAAGATTATACCATACATCCATTTCACCGCTTAATGTTCTTACTTCAATAATTGTCTGACCAAGAAAATCATCCGATTCTCTAGTGAATTTTTGTCGAATTTTCGACTTTAAATCATTATCTTCATCCCTGTAGGGAAAAAGTTGTAAAAACAAAAAAAATATTTAAAATGAACATGACCTTTCACAATGTCAGGCACTCTGTAATTTTACATCAAACAATAAGTTGTTTACCATACGTGAGTTCTTATTCATTACAGACACCTAACATTTTCATCTTGACTGAAAATTATAAACAACTGAATAAAACGCAAGAAATCTTTTATTACAATATCAATCCAACATAGTTAATGACAGTTCATTCCCTCTAGATATTCATTTCTGTGGTAAAGAATTGAACGAATCTTCAAACCTACTAAGAATAGCAACATCAACAATGACTGAAATAGACTATTCCATGAGATAATAATAAAAACCAGATTTTGATGATCATTGATGTCAACACATGTTTCACACATAGAAGTAAACATCCGATAGAGTTGACCATTTATGGTTGACTGAATAATCACGAATATCACGTTTATTCAATCCCCCAGTCAGTCAGTTAGTACATCCGTACAAGTTGTCGTACCGCATTAACACAAAGAGATGAAATTGTCAAACTGAATCCCAGACTAGTACAGCCAGTAACATTATCAATAGTAATAGGCATCAAATATGCAATTCAAGAAGAAAATATAAATTAGTTAACTATAAAAACGTGATGAGGAACTCAGAAGCTCATCATTTGAAGGAAGATAAAGAATGGATGGACCTGCGTCACTGTAAATAATTTTGAGCCATGTCATTCAAACTTACTAACCAGTGGCTACGATAATCACGCGAACCTCAACCAAGTAGTTTACATAAATTAACATGCTTTAGTCGAAATGTCAGTGTCTTTGTAGACCCACTCTCATGTCTTGATTTGGCCACCATTAGCCTTCTTCTAACCTACTCCTACACCAAACAGCATCGTTCATCGAGGTAGAAGATGGTTGAACACATGTAACACATGTCCCAACTAACTCAGTTGATGAGGATTTGCTGCTTTATCAATTGGTTTCTTATCCTTACCTAGCACCCTACTAATTAGGGATTGCTGATTAACTTCTACCTGCGACGTCGTAACGTAGCAACTATCCTGAATGACTGGACATTATGTGCACTTTGTTGAGATGTTGGTTGGTTCAACATCGGCTAAGAGCAGCCATGTTTAACCTGAGTTTAGTGCAAGTTGGTACGCACCAACAAGGTACCCCTGCAATTCAATGGGAACCGATGGTTTTCGGTGGATTTAAACTGACATCTCCCACTTGAATAGAAAAATATGGTCTTAGTGTTCAGATATCGATCAGTTATAGATATATCGGTTCTGCAGTAACACAATAACGACTCAAATAGTTCGGTGGTAATGTCCCAAATTATGAACCTGTGTTGGAATCTCACAGAGGCTACAAATTCCCTCACGATAGCAGGTATTCCTAGCTAAAAATTGGCAAATAGCATGAAACCTAGGTAAGGCAAATTAATTGTCAATTGCTTTCAACCATTTGAATAAAGTTTACTACAATATTCTGGTATTCAGATAAATGATCATCAATAAAAATATGATTGATATTATTCAATCAGTACTCGTGATGATATAGGATGCTATCAGCTCTAACTATGTATTTTCATCAGTCAATGAACTTCTTAAAACCCAAAGAATAAGGTGTAACATTATCCTAGGAATGATGTTTTCAGTCAATAAAATGAACGAATTTTTCTTCTAATCCCTATTTAGCTTTGCATCTTCACTGAGTACAAATGTGTATATGGTCTATTGTACAAACTCTTAAAACTTGCCATACAGAAACTAAATAAACCCTGTTTCCGAATCATTGAATTTAGACATTAACACCGTTGGATGCCGGTTCAGTCGTCTAGTGGTTAAGCGCTCGCGAGCGAGACTGATAGGTCCTGGGTTTGAATCCCGCGAGGTTGGGTCGTGGATGCGCACTGCCGGGGGGTCCCACAATAGAACGAAACGGCCATCCAGTGCCTCCAGGTCTTCCATGGTGTTCTGGCTTAAACTGACTCATGACCTCAATTATTGATATTATATCATGATAATATTTGAATAAGAATGGTAAACATTACATATCATTGTAACATATTAAAATGAATTTAAATTTTAAGAGAAGGAGTTACCTTTGTGATAACAAACTTATTTAATTCATTCATATTTTATGTTAAACACTTACAATAATTTGTGCATCACAGACTTTCATGTATTGTCATCTTAGTTAATGTTAGAATTCTTTTATGAGACGGAACTATATCTTTCTTTTCACTATGCAAAACTTATCATAACATAATATATCACTCAATATATCAAGATATGAAATAAAGAAACATCTTTTGTTAAATAGAGTTATGTTGTTAGTGTTTTGTGTGAATGAATCACGATGGTATGATTGAGACTGTACAGATGTTAATCAATGTAAGAGAGCTTTGTAGAGACTATTTGCATGTGAATATTATTTCTGTTACAAAACGTCATCAGTCGGGAAAATCTATTGGAAATCACGACACAATGAACAGCTAACTGTTTCTACTTTGAGAGTATACAGATGAGCACACCTACAACCCATTAGGAAATAAACCTTAAACAATTAGTAATCACTCCAAGGGTGTGTATGTGTGTTCGAAGGGAGTATCAATCGAACGATGCATTTATACTCCTAAAATGCGGAAATCCAACGTTTTCTACTGGGCGGCTTATGAGATAGTCTCTTTGGACTCATGTGGTCGTACGTTATGTGCAATGTGAACAGTTGATTACTGATTATCAGAAAAGTACACTATTCGGATGATAATGAACATGTGAACCGTTCTTATGTCTCAGTGAAGTTACTGACTATCTCAGAGTCATCCATTTATGTTATCTGTTTACTTACGTATAATAGGCTGTAACTGTGTGTATCAGACTAAGAAAATGAAGATAACTCATACTGACCTATCAGACATCTGAATTTCTTTATCTTAGCTAAGTTCACTATATTTGAATGTTATTTTTTACTTAATGAGTATTTCCATGAACAATTCCTATAAATAATTCAAAACAATGAAACATTCCATGAGATATGATAAGGTCTAGTTAAAGAATTCAAAAGTAACAGATCATCATAGCCCCATGAATTGATATCTAATCCGTTATTCTATTTAAATAGTGATTTATTAAAACATAAAACATAAAGTCGGTTAATCAATCGAGAACTGATCATTATATCAAGCTTTTTCTTCAGTGATAAGATGCAAATGGAAATCATGTCATAGCAACTATTTAAATAATAATATTTCTATATCTATAATTTTGCAGAATTTACACTTCTCTCACAGTATCAATATCAGCAATTAAGTCATTGCAAACAAGATCAGTCAATTTGTTTACACTTAATTACTCAAAATGATTAATTGGTTTACATTAAAACAGAAAGGAGTGGCTAAATTATTCTCATAAAAATAGATTGATTTATTTAAATAAACAATAAACTACTGATGAGAAAGATAGAAATAATTTATTTTCATTCACTAGAGGACATTAATCAGAAAGATATATCTATACATTTATATTCTAGCTTTTACTAGAGTTGTGTTCTCTGAGCTGGAGGGTTTGATCGTGGAACTTTCATTGTTTTTTTCTGAATAACATCATTAGCACACACTTCAGGTAGAAATGAATTGTTCGAGTTACGTCACATATGACGCACAACTTGTTGTGGATTGGATCTTTATTGGTTATTGCTGACCTTTAACATGTCATTGTCTACTTTTTTTTTAATCAAAAAGTAGGTTACTGACTTTTCTAACCTTGTATCATCTTTTCAATCTTCAAAGTTTACATTGAAACGTCTAATTCCCATGATAACAGCTGTTTTCCATAATAGAAATAGATCTCAACATTTTATTGCATTTTCTAATCGTTCTTCCTACAGTTTACTATAATAAAATGATAGCTTATTAGGCATATTTTCTGTGGAAAAATCCTACATTATAGTGTTATTAAACAAAAGTAAACTCACCAAACACGAAGTTTAATTCGTTCCAAGGCATTATCACACTCACTAGAAGCAAACAGAAAGAAAACTGTGTCATTCGTAATATATCATGATTATCGAATTCTTTAATCAATATAATTGCGATTTGATGAAAGAGAATTAAATAAAAAAGTGGCATCAGTTCATGAAGTGGGTGCATAAAACGTGATTGTGGTTGACATTAAAGCTGTGATAAATGAGTCAAGACTTTAGGCAATATGGCTTAGAATCCGTCACAACAACTAAGATCCATTCAATAATTACCTTCTCATAAATTTTAAGCACCAATATAACGTTATGTATAACTTTTGTTTCTGTCTTCTAGAGTTTTATTTCCAATGGTTAGTCTTTCCCATCAACATTGCTACTACATTATTTCAACTCTAATCTCATCATGCCAATGTGGCGCAGCAACTATATCCATCACACATTTATATCACATTGTATGCTAATTTACCATTGATTTTAATTATGTTTGCGTAACTTACGTTATTAGTTTATGCAACTCCTAGAATTTATATGACCCACTTCTGAACTCGTAAATTACCTGAATAAAATGTGTTTGAAAGTATATTGTGTGCTTAACAGTTCAATACATTGGAACAACACAACACTATAGTCCCTTCGATTGCTGACTCCACTCAAGGTTCATATAGACAACACATGTTTTCCTAAGCCTCAAACATTTGGTACTAATAGTCAATAAAAAATATTCAGTTAGATCGTCTCTACGTAATTGGGTTTCGATTCACTAGAGGAGATATCATTTCTATAACGTTTACTTGTACATATTAATAATAAGTAAAAATAAGTATAGAAAAGTAGGGTTTCACTTAGATAATTGCTTTATCACAGAAAGATTTCCCAAAAACACACAATAATTTGATTCAAATAATTTTACACTAAAGTACATACAATAGAAATTTTTCATCCCATGTTGGATTCAATTCTTGTAGAACTGTTTTAGTACGTTTACGTACTTTACCAACTTGTACTGTCACATATGGATCACTTCGTCCAGTTTTATCTTTACCAATTAAACCTTGAGCAGATTTCACTTGAAAACAATAACAAAGATAATAATAAAAGCGATAAGAATAATAAACATGAAGGTACTAATAAAAATCAGTCGAAAAATATGACTGTAAACACATATTGACTTGTATAATATTAAATCCTATATACACGAATATTCGTCAAAATTAGAATGAATAGTTTGAAAGAAATTGGGCGCCGAGTATAGAGAAGTCATTATATGTGAAAATTATATTTGAAATAATCTCAGCGGTTGAAATTTGAGTAATTCCAATGTTTCGTCCAGCTAACTTGTCTGGACTTCTTCAGGATAATAATCAAAATCAAAATCATCAAAGAAATCTATAGCTTTTTCACAATCATCCTATATGTTGAAATAATTCAACTGTTCGATATAAGACGGTTGAATTGACAGATATATTCACATAATCGATTCCTGAATTCTGAAAGGATAAACTTCAAACGATATTCACCACTAGCTAATTATCTCAATGTGTGAATACTTACCTCAAACAATTAAGATTATTATTTATTAATGAAAACTCAGATACATGATTGAGGAATATTCTTTTCAATAGAATCTCGTCACATTTGAATTTGATAATCAAAATGAACAGCCAAATACATGACAAATACACAATTCATACGACTGTAGAATATGAATTTATTATTTATTCATCGGTTGATCCTTGTAACTATTACATACTCAACAGTAATATTAATTATTATCATTCACTTGGTGTTGTTTTACTTGTATCTTCCGATTGTTATTTAGTCTCATGTTGGCATATGTACATCCTGTGCGGATTGCCTCAATATAGCCTTAAGTCACAGGCATATCCAACTGACGAGTCCCAAATAGGGCGAAACGCGCGTCCTGGACTCCACTGCTAGCCACTTTCCATCTTTGCTTAGAAAGCTTGTGAATTAAGGCTATATCGAGGCAATCCTCACAGGATGCACATATGCCAACATGAGACTGATCAATTGCAGTCCTAAATAACGATGGGAAGATACAAGTAAAACAGCATCAAATGAATTTAAACTTCATCCCATTGAACAAGCAAGTGTAACTCAATGATCCAGAGTCTAAGTAATTTCCACAAGACCTAATGGTTCGGGATTTCATCTCCGGTGAGATCATAAATATCCACTTCTACAAAGTCCCATACTAAAAAGAACCAAGTGACTAGTGCTCTCTGGTTTTCAGTAAATGTCGAACTAAAAATGTTCTTGATGTAAATTACAAACTGAAAATTCTCTATAAACCTTCGTCATTAGTAGAATATTTAACTGAAAGCTGTAATCCTTAGTACAACACAGACTATATTCCAACATATTACTCATGGATATATTTCTACAAAATCACTAAATATTTGCTTAATTATGAAATTAGTGCATATCTTCCATTTATGCCCAATTAAATGGATTCTGGATCAGATCTGACCTTATAAGATTTTTCATCTTAAAATATAGAGATTACAAGTAAGGCATGTTATAGCCTTTGTACTGTTGTTTACATGTGTGAATTTCTGTGTAAGCATATTTGTACTTTCAACCACAATATAGGTCAAGTGGGACATATAATAATCATTGAAATATCCCCCCTGTAGGTTTCGAGTATTTAACATGACAACAGGCTGTACGTTTATTTTATAAGTTCAAGCATTAAACCATTCAGACATGATGGAAAGTAGAGTGCACAAACGTAGAATAACCTGCGAAGAAATAGAAAGAGTAAGTATATGTGTACCATTTCATTCAATATCCAATGACATTATAGTGTTTTCACCAGTACTAAATACCAGGATCTTGAGCTATAACAGTTAAACAGATTAACATTTAAAATATGAGTTGTCCGTTAGCCATTTCTGTCTAACAGACCAGGAACGTTTAAACTGTCAATTATTGCAATTGATGGATCATTATAATTTTCACGCTCAAGCTGGATAAAATTACAGATGCCTAGTCTGATATTAGCAAACTCCTACTGAATTCAATGTTTAAAATATGAAAGTAACAACCGAGCTGGGAACAGATCATTTTATCAAGATTATTTTTAAATTAATTTTATCAAACTATACAGCATACAATCATATAGAAAATATACTGACGAACGAATTACTCGTTGGTTGTGTCAGTCACAAATAGTAAATAACCAACTTATACAATTTTCTCCATGCTTCACACACTACAACTAAACATAAAGTATTTTATTTTAAAGTGGACGTGAAATACAAAAGCTTTCAGAATATTACATGACCATTAACGACTATCTGCGGTGGATAACTGTTTCACTCCTAATGGTCACGGATTCTCAATACAAATCTAGGAATTACATATTATAACCGTTCATAAATGGGTATATGATCATTATTAGTGTAGAAGAGTTTGTGAAGATTGCAGAACTTTCATAAATTAAACTACAAATTGATTATAGCTAGATCACCATTGAAAATCAGAATACTTAAGCAATATCATGAAGTGATTGAAGTTAGACTAAGTAGCCTAAAAGTTAAGCTCCCAAATGTTAAACCATAGATGCTCAGTGCTATAGAATCCTATATTACGACAAAATAGATGTTCACTACTTCCAGTTTTTCAATGGTGATCTAACTAAGAATAGCCAGTGATTTAAATTATGAAAATTCTATAATCTGTACAAACCCTCTTATAATAATATTAATGAGAACTTTGCCTATCTTTTTGCTCAAAATTACTTTCATATCCAATTGAAAAAAAAATAGTTGCTAAGACGATATAATCGTCTTATGGCTAAAAAAAAAACTAAATCATAATAGAAATCATTTATTTTTATTATTATTGTTTTTTCAGCTATGCTCGACTGAATTTTTGTACATTAATTTTCACTAAATGCCTCAACTAAATCTATCATAATGTATTATCTTATCCGTTTGTTGGAGAAAATAATTCAATAATAATAATTTATCACCAGGTATTCGAAACATTCTTTCTGGTTAGTGTTTTTTAGTGAGTTTTCTACGGAATGGCGCCGCTAATCCCATGCCCAACCCTCCTCCATTATCCGGGCATGGGACCGGCAGTAGTCCTAAAGGGGCTCCAGGCGAAAGCCATCATTAAGAACACAAAAGAGGTTATTAACAGTTGTCTACGCAAAAAATTTCGGACCCGTTAGCCAGACACTATCAACATCAACTATTGTCAGAGAGAATAAGTCAGATTCCAGCGGAAGAAGAAATCAGAAAGAAGTGCTAGAAGTGGATATAACACACATTGAGGAAAGCATCCAACTGCATCACAAGGCAATCCCTCACACACAATCCTCAAGGCGAAGGGAAAAGAGGAAGACCAAAGAACATAGTTCGGCGAGAAACGGAGACAGACATGAGAAAAATGAACAAGAATTGGATAGAACTGGAAAGGAAGGCTCTGGATAGAGTGAGTTGGAGTATGCTGGTCGGTGGCCTATGCTCTATTGGGAGTAACAGGCGTAAGTAAGTAAGTAGGTAGGTAAGTAAGTACTTCTAAATATTTGTCTACTTTAGACAAAGAAAACCAATCTTAAAAACATATTTCATATATTATGATTGTCTAACTCGATAAAAAGAGGGAGGTTATTTTAAAAAAATTGAATTAATTTGTACAATGATTAATTAACGGTCAAGTTCAGTCCTCTGAAACATTCAGCAATCCGTTTTGTTAAAATAAAAAATTTTTAAAAACACATTTAACTTGAAAATGAATTTCACGGAATTCTAACAGAGGACTGTGTCTAATAAGATCAATCATGTTGTAAGTTAGAAAGAGTTTACTAGTTTATGATACCATGGTCAAAATTTGACATACTTTTGCCAAGATCTTTGAATTGTAGCTTCAATAGTAAATTTAATAATAATATGGTACATTTCATTAAGCTTAGAAGAAAAACCAGAGATGCTATAGTATCAAACTATAAGTACTTTATAAATCTAGATAATAAATATTCAAATATAGTTATGGATACAAATTCGTGAATAAACTGCCAATGACCCGACACCGTTTTTTAACAATTTCTCAATAAGCGTTTTAGTTTAGCCATTATAATAACTATTAGCTCTAAGTATTCAGTGTATTTTTTTCATCTTCCACTATTATTTACTTTGTGCATCTTTTTCTAACTGACTATGTTTCTTTCTTATTCGTGTACCGGCTACATTAATTTAAGATTTAGTGATGTAGAAGGGCAAGGGTTTTTGGCTTGACTACAGCGTGCGAAATCATTGGTGCGCACTGCTGAGGAGTTCCATACTAGGCGGAAGACGTTCATTGATTCTAGGTTTCCAATAACGGTCTTACATCGATCAATCAATGATTTTAATCAAACTAGATAATCTCCACAACCCAGTATTTACATTAATTGAAGTTCCCTAAACAGATGATGCCTTAAAGATCTTTGATAGGCTGCATAATGAAGCCTTGCAATTTAATTGCACGTGAATGTCTCAAAACGCAAAACAATGTTTCTAGCAGTGGAAGTGAATAAAAAAATGCTATGTCTCCATGAATGTCGAGCAAATATCTTAGTCCTTTAGGAGATCAGGTACAGCACGAATAGTTCAGTAGTAACGTCCCAGACTTTGACACTATGTGACACGGGTTGGAATCTACCAGGGAATATCAATTTCTTCAAATTAGTAGATACGCCCTATAGATGAGTACCAACTAGTATTAGGCGTAGGTTTAGTGTCCCGTGTCGACTGCCTTCAATAATCTAACATGAAATATAAGATGCCCTAAATAGATGACCTGCTCTATTTTAGAAATATAATTCAATTGATTCATTGATCTCGCCTAAAAGACCAAATGCTTGGATTCAACCTCAAATTAATCTACAGATATTGACGTCCGATCATCTTTTGATAGTTTAAAGCTAAGCTGAGTTAGTTTACAATTACCCATCAATATGCAATTTCACTCAAGTTGATGTTATTCCACATGGATAATCAGGTTCTGCTCATATTCACCTTAGTGAATACTATTATTTTCATTGTTAAAATGTTT